ACACGGGCATCTGCCTGCTCCTGGGGACACAGTGGACGGAGGGCAGACCACTTCAGCCCCCAAGGCCTCAGCCAGTACCAATTATAACAGCTGGACAGAGCTGGGGGTTTTGGCCATCCACCACGTGGGTTAGGGCTCTTCAACTCTGGGGCTTTTTTTTCCTATTGTTATAAATATTTTGAGTGTGCAAGCATGTAAGTAACATGCTATAATTACACTCCTCCCCCTTCTGAAGAGCCTGTAATCAAACTGGGGCTTCTCAAATGTAGGCAAGCGCTCTGCGGCTGAGCTTCGACGAGCAGCACCCTGAGCTATGAGCAGACCAGGGCTGAGTGAGTGAGAGCCCCCAGTATAGCACGGGATCTGAGAGGATCCCGGAACTTGAGAACTGCTTTCCAGAACTGCTTTCCAGAATTGCCAGAAACTTAGGGCAGGTTCTGGACGCATGCTTGCTCTGGTAGCCTGCCTCTCCTAATTAGGTTCTGAGAATCACCTGGCTGAGGAAAAGTCCACACACTAGCAATGCCTGGGGGCTCCGCCCCCTTGCCAAATCACCCCCATTTGCCATCACTGAGGTCTGGCCGATTCTCACACCTGCGCTGTCCACAGGCAGCTGCTGAATGCCTGAAAGACTGACTCCATGGATGAGCAAAATGAGAAATACCCCATTCATACTTAACAGTAATCCAGTGTTAAGAGGGACTGATTCAGGACATGTGCGTGAAGTCAAAGATAAAACCCAAACAAACTTCACCTGCCTGCTACCTTTTTCTAGAAGCCAGTAGATGACCTAAAATGTATCATACACCTGGCCTCTCTTCTGCATCGAACTCAGCTGTGCTGCCGTATTGAGCAGCTGCACCCGGAAGTCATGACTTGTCAATAAATGTTAATCTTTACAAGATTTTGGTCCCTCGGGGGCTACTGAGATGTGTCACTGACCTGGAAAACCAAAGGTATGAACCATTTCCATTTGCTGCTGCCTCAGCGCCTGGCTCCCCAGTGGGCACGCCTCACCCCTGACCCTTTCACCTCTGAAGCCGTGTTTCCCTGGATTGAACCGTGCACTATGATTAAAGGGTTTCTCGAATCCCGACCTGAGAAAGACCCCTCCCTCTGTCTCTGTATGCTGTGGGTAAATCATGGCTCAGAGAAGCAAAGGAAAAGGGGCAACGTGTTTTCCCACAGAAAGGAAGATACAATCAGTATGTTCACGGCTTCTAGTTGCAGCGTGGGTCATGGTGTGCTTCAAAGATGGCTGGCTTCTTTCAGGAGGTCCCAGATTTTGAACTCTGGGGGTGGACGGATGGGAGAACGGTCAGCCAGCTATTTGCTGAGCCGTTACTATGTCCTAGGTACTACTTGTGTTTAGTGTGTAGTGTGTATTAGCCCGTCCTGGCTGCTGTAACAAATTGCTACAGTTTTAGTAAGCAGCTCGGATACATCTCACAGTTCCGCAGTCCAGAAGTCTGGAATGTTCTCATAGCCCCTGCACTGGCCCTGAAGGCAAGGATGACTTTGAACTTTTAATCCTCTTGCTCTGTCCCCCACCCCCAAATCCTGGGGTTACAGGCATGCACCACCATGATAGATCTCTGTGGTGCTGGGGATCAAACACATGGGTTCATGCATGCTGGGCAAGTAGTCTATGCACTGAACTACATTCCCGGCCCCCGGAATGGGTATCACAGGGTTAAAGGGTTGCGTTTCTTTCTGGAGGTTCTAGGGCAGAATCTGTTTCCTTGCCTTCTCCGGTTTATAAAGGATGGTATTATTCCTTAACTGTTGGCTCTTCCAAAGCTGCATGCAGCCAGCAGAGTGTCATCTTGTGTCACTGTGACCACCTGCCTCTCCTGCTTCCCTCATCTCCATTTAGGGACCCTTGCAACATAGGGCCCACCTGGTGACTCACACTAACCTCCCATCTCAAGGTCAGTGGGTGAGCAACTGATTCCATCTGCAATCGGAGTTACGCAAATAATACATTTAGTTAGGCTGCGGTCATCTTTGCAGGGACATGACTCAACTTACCTCCCAGTATCTCACAAGTACACTCTTCCAGAAACACAGAACCAGCCCTGCTTTCCATAGAAAAAGCAGGCTCTGTAGTAAGGCAACTTGCCCTTAACACAGATGAGAGATAGGTCGACCCTGGCCACGAGTATGCTCTATGAAGTCACACCGTCTTTTCAAAGGTCTGCGATTCAGACTACGGGTACAATGAGCCGCGCAGCATTTTCTACTCAAAACACGACATTTTGAAAAGGGTTCTTATCAACGAAGGGACTACAGTAATGGGGCTGGGCGGACGGTCTCTGGGACACACCACTGGGGTCAGAAGCTCATAATTCAAACGCCAGCTGCCAAAAGGAAGGATGACTGCCTCCCTCGACACTCCTGAGAGGTAACCACAGAGCTCTGTGCAAAACAGGGCGTGTCCTGTCCACAGAGCAAACATGTAAGCATTCCTCTTCCTCCTGGCCCCAGGAGCCCAGAGGAGAGACTGCCAGATTGCTGAGGATTTGACTTCTAAGTTAGCTGCCCCATGGCCGCCACCCTGCCACTGTCAATGTCAAGACAGGCAGTGTGTTCCAAAGGGAAGCAGGTCCCAGTACTGGATGTGCTATTTTCTATCCCAAAGGAGACACGGAAGCGGTAACCAGGGCTCTCTAGGCCTAACTTGCAAGGAGCCAGGCTGGCGGCTTGCTCGATATTTCTGGGAATGATCTAATTAAATATTAACTACTTACAAAACCTCATTCTTACATCCCTCACTAAGTCACTATGAAGACACATAGCTGGATGCCGGGCTCAGGCTCGCTCACGCGCTCTCTCTCCTATGAAAAAGTTGCTCTGGAGTGGGTGAGCCCCATGAGACTCCTCAGTACAAAGTTACGCTTCCTGAGCAATCCTTTCAATCCCTCAAAAACTCGAGGGCAGGCAAGAAGGCTCAGCAGGTAAAGGCGCTTGTGGATAAACCAGACAACCTGGGATTCCTGGAACACATAGGGTGAGAGGAGAGGAAGCCTGCAAATTGTCCTCTGACTTCCACTCATGGGCTGTGGTGCTTACGTGTGCGCACACACACAATAAATAAATGCACTAAGAGTTTTAAAAATGGACAAAGCCAAAGTCAAAAGTACCACCTCACAAACCAACCACCAAACACATGTGGCTCTGTCCCCCCTGACATTCAGGAAGGTTACCCTTGACATAATCATTAAAGCGGAAGATCAATGAACTTGACCTTTAAAATCCCATCTCCTCCCCATCTCTTCCTGCAGCTAAAATCAGAGCATTCTCTGCACCTGCTCAAAAGTGTGGGGGGGGGGGATTCTAAAATCCCCCTGAATAAATCAGGTTCCTGACAACACCCAGATTCTCAGTGGCAGCTGTCCATCTCCCTAGGCTCTGCAAGTTTACTAGCACAATTAATTATGTATTAATGACTTCACATCAAACGCCATGTTTGTTTTTAATGGTGGGTGATCCAGGCTGGACCAGCTGGAGCTCCCATGGATACAGTAATCATTTGCAAGCCAGGTTGGTGCCGGCACTTGGCCTGCACGGTTCACTCTCGTCCTGAAGTTTATTACTATCACTGCCCATCAGAAGCACAAAGGTTAGATCTCACGTTTTCTCCTATTTCAAAACGAAACCGCTTGTGCCGACTTGTTTTGAAAGCAACCGCCGGAGTCCTTGCTCTCTGCTCTGACCAAGGGGGGGGGGTGGACTCGCCAGTGGCACCCACAAATGCAAATATCAGCAACCTGCTTCAGACTCAGGTGGGAGGAGTCTTTGGCTTCCTTTATTGTTAAAGCTTAAACAGAAAATGCTGCCATTTCGGCCTTGGCTGGCTTAGTCTAGGCAATAATCAAGTAGTGACCATCCCCCTCCCCACTGCGCGTCCACCCAAGACAGGGCAGAGTTTGTAAAACCAAAAGGAGGGAGCCAGACGTGGTGGTGGATGTCCACAATAGCAGCATTTGGGAGGTGGAAGCGGCGGGGATTAGGAATTCAAGGCTAGCGTGGGGCTACGTGAGACCCTGTCCAAAAAAAAAAAAAAACTAGACAAAGCCACACCTGCAGCGTGGGTCCTCGAACCCAGAACCCATGCGTGAATGAGTGCGCACCCGGGCATTATTTCCTTTTTCCACGCCACCTTCTCAGGTCGGGCCCTCTCCCGGGAGAGGAGCGGCGCGTGGGAGCGCAGGAAGGAGCCTGGGAAGTTTCCGTCTGTCAGGCGCCGGGGTTTAACGAGGGGGTGGCAGCCTATTTATAAGTGGGCCCCCCCCCCCCGCGCGGGCAAACAAGTCTGGCGGCGACATCCGTGAAAACTTTTCCCCCAGCAGATCATAAGCCACCAGTGCGGCCGTGGAAACAGCCAAAGGGAGCCGGGAGCTTCCCCGGGAAGGCGGCAGGCAGGGCGCCGAGAGCGCCCCGGGTCCCCGCGCGGCCGGCCGTGCGCACCTGGGCCGCGTCCGCATCCCCGAAGCCCGGCCCGGCGGCGGCGGCGGCGGCGGCGCGGCTTCCGGTCACCTGCGCCGCTGCCGGGCCGCGGAACCGGCAACCGTCCGCGCAGGGCCGAGCCTCCCGAGGGCCCGGCACCCCCCACCGCCGCTCGCCCTGCCCGCTCGCCCGCTCGCCCTGCCCGCCCGCCCTGCCCGCGCTCGCCTGCGTCTTGTCGAACTGCTCGCGCTCGGCCTCCAGGCTGTGGCCCGGCCTGCGGCTCAGCACCCGCGCCGGCACGTTCTTGATGCTGTTCATGTCGCCGCCGTCCGACCGTGTCCCCGGCCCGGCTCCGCGAGAATGAGGCGTCACCGCCCGCCGCCCCGAGCCTAGGCACCCGGAGGCCGCGCGCCGCGCCACGCGGGGAGGAGCCGCCGCCCCTCCCGCCAGTCACTCGGGCCGTCCAACCGGCGCCCCGCCCTCCCCGGCTCCGCACGCTCCGCCCCCCCCCGCCCCCTCCGGGCCCCCGGGAGTCCTGGCGTGCCCCGCCCCCCCTGCATCCCCTGAGCAACCCCAGGACTCCCGGGATACCCTGCCCTGCACCCACCTGGGTCCCTTAGGACTCCCGGGACACCCTGCCCTGCACCCACCTGGGTCCCTTAGGACTCCCGGGACACCCTGCCCTGCACCCACCTGGGTCCCTTAGGACTCCCGGGACACCCTGCCCTGCACCCCTCTGTCACCCAGGACGTTCTGCCCTGCACCCCCCTGGTCCCCTGGGACGCCCTACCCAGCACCCCTCTGGTCCGGTTCCCCCGGGACGCCCTGAGCCCCAAGACTGCACCTGCTTTGTCCCCCGGGGACTCACTGGGAATGCCCCTTGCACATCTGTCCCGTCTCCTTGCACACTTCTAGCTCCCCAGGACTTCCTAACACACCCCGCCCCCTGACAAACCAAGTGTAAGGACCAAATACCCCCTTAGCTCCACTACATACCTTCTTCTCGCCTCCTAACTCGAGGAAAAATGAATTGGGCCCCACCCCTAACCCCTTCCTCACTCTGGGTCTCCTTCAACAACCTCGGGGTGGCGGGGGGGGGGGCGGGGGGCGGGGAGGACCGGAGCAAACTGGGTCTCCTTGAGTCTGGTCGGTAGCCGCACAGCCAGGCTTCTTTGTCTTTTCAGTTGAGCCCGGCCATCCCTCCAGCCCCTTGCTTTTTGAGATGAAGCTTCAACGACCTGTCAGAGGAATGCTACCTTGAGTTAGACACCTGACCATCGTCTCCCAGGTTAGATGAAGCTCTCTGAGGACCCAGGGGGACAGTTTCATTGCCATTGAACCATTCCTCACTGTGCTGACATCCACTGAACATTTCAGAGTTGGACGAGGCTCTCTTCGACACCGAGATTAGCCGTGCTTTATCTAATACCCATCGATGAAAAGCTTCTTCGCTCGAATAACGATAGAGTAATAACAACAGCCGATATTTGTCAGGTACGGGGCTAAACCCTTTATATGTATTATCTAGTTCCTAATCCTCAGCAATTCTCTAAACGGCCATGGTTTAAAAAAATAATAAATAAAAAAGGGGCTGTTTTGCTTTGTGCCAGCTGTTTCTCAGACTTTTTCTCACAGGGGACCAAACCAGTTATCCTGTAATTTTCATATACACACAGGAGGCCACAGCTCCCACTGGGTAGAGTACATCTCCCACAGTGGCCTGTCATTATCAAACACGCCCATTCTTTTTAGTAAACAGAGGCATTAGTGTGTTAGGTGTGGCGCTCACCATCCAGTCATCAGGATCGCAGGATCTCATTTCATCTTTACAGACCAAGAAAAGGGCTTATCTTCATAGCACCCAAGCTCAGTCCCGGCTCACACAATTGCAAAATGATGCTGTCAGGATGTGGTCTCCGATCTGCCCCATTTCAAGCCAGTGTGCTCTGACAAGCACGCCACTGACTCGATGATACTGGAGTCCCTACGGCTTTTATAAGTAATGTGTCTGCTCATGAGATTTCTGAGTTGCCGGAGGTCAACTTGTGTTAACCATCATCCTGCTCTCCATGCCTAGCAGAGTACCTAATACATGACCATGTTTAAAAAAAAAAATGGGTATGAGGGCTAGCAATGATGCCAAGCTTGATGACCTGAGTTCAAGGCTTGGACCCACATGATGGAAGGAGAGGGAGGACTCTGACCTTTTATTTCGAGCTGTGGCTTGCACATGTACACATACACAAAATAAACACATAAAATTTAACTTAAAAAATGAGCGTGAGGGCAAGCATGGCAGGACACACCTTTAATGCCAGCACTTGGGAGCCAGAGGCACGTGGCCTCTGTGATTATGAGGCCAGCATGATCTACACAGTGAGTAAAAAAGGAGGTGGAGTATAAAATGAAGGTTTGGAAGAATAAACCAGCCCCAGAGAGTGGAGAACAGAATGAGTACTCCACTGTATGCTTATGATATAAATGGGCATTTCTGGGGGTACAAAGATGCAAACTCCACCCCTTTGGGTAATTAAGGTTCATCCCCAGACATCATCGACAAAGGGGCCTGGTCCGGGCCTGGCTGTCACTAGCTGGCTGTGATCTCCTTTTGGTAAATTGTGACAGCTGTTTAATCTTCCTCCAAGGGGAATGCAGACTAGACCCTATCTGGGAGAACTCAGGAAGGCAGCAAAGTTTTGGGGACTCGCCGAAAAAGACTGTATGCGGTAACAGCCACTGCCTCACTGACACACAGGCACGATCCACCCAGCCCCTCTTGGGGTTCATCTTGCGCCATCCTGGACTATCAAGTCTGCACATGCATCATGCTCCTTCCACAGCCTCGGGGACTTTGCACATGCTGTTACTATACCTGGAATCCTCTTCCTGTTTGCCTGGTGAGTGTCTGCCCATCTTGCAGCTCTTGGTGTAGATGCTGCTTCTCCAGGAAGCCCTCCCTGATTCCTCCACCCTGACCTATGTGCCAGTATCTCAACATTCTGCATTAAAGCACCAGTCTTCCCAGTGATTACTTACGGTCTGTGTCCCCTACCAGAATGTAAGCAAGGCTTACACTGTTATCTCCCATGGCTGGCAAAGCTGTGTGGTGTGCTCATAATGAATTTGTATGAGTGAGGTACCAGGGATTAAATCCAGGGCCTTGTGCATGCTGGGAAAGTGCTCTATCACCGAGCTATAGCTCCAGCCCTCTTTTTACTTTTCGTTGTGAGATGAGGTCTCACTAAAGTTGCCCATGTTGAACCTGAACTCACTGCAGCCTAAGTCTTCGGCTTGTCATCCTCCTGCCTAGCCTCCCCAGTAGATGGGGTTACAGATCCTTTTTGTTTGTTTTAAGCATTACTTGGCTGAGAACCCAGAGGTCCTCCTTAGCAGAGCTAGTTAATGTGCACTGTGCATTCAATAGACTCTTCTGGAAGGCCACCCATTTTAACCCAGATGCATGTGTCTGGCATCTTAGCTGACTTTATGCACTCTGATCTCCAGAACATCAGGGTTATGCTGTTTCTCCTGGAGGATCATTCTCCTGGAGGCTTAAGTGAATAACCTTCCTGCACTGTGCACTACCAGAATCACACCAACTGTCTTAAAGGAAAGAAAGCTAGAGGCATTATCCTAGCAAGAGGCTTACAAATCAGGGACACAGAAGACACCATGGGTCACTATCCAGAGTGTGACAAGGCTTCCATGACAGGGCTTCCATCCTTGGCCTCATACCACACAGTCTCAATTCTAAGCATTCTCTTGGCACCTTTTGGGTAAAACTGTTTTAAGTGTTTATGTATAGTCTTGATTCAGAATTTCTTCTGGAGGGGGTGTTTCTATTTCTGTTTAAAAGGTCTGTTCAGAAGTTCCAAAAATACCCTGTATCAGTCTTTTCCAATGCTGAGATCATTTCTGGCAGACAGATTATAGTGTAATTCAGTTGCCTCCTGATATGCTGGTCTTAAGAATGATAATGACACAACACAAATCCTAAAGGCTAGTTTATCTTGCAACTCTTTCCTGCACACATGATAAATTGCTCCTATATAAATAGAACATGTTGAGACAGAGGAGCTGACCATATTAAAATCGGCCACTCTGAATTTCATGTTAATTGATTCATAATAATTTTGTTGAGTAAGCACAGGTGTTATAAAGCTGGGCATGGTGGTATACTCCTGTCACCCCAGCACTTGAGAAACTGAGGCAGGAGGCTCACAAGTTTGAGCCAGCCTGGAGTACATAAGTGTCATAGATATTTCAAGCCTATGAACTAAAATTACATTTAGCTATAAAAGAATGTAGTCTTTCAAATCCTGTTCTACCCTAAGTTTTGCTACGGAACGTCTAATGGATGTTTCCTGTCACAGGCAAGTGGAGTAGTCATGAGCCTACCACACAGAGCAGGAAAAAATTTAGTGTCTGAATTCTCAGCCTGGAACCTGGGGCTCTCCAAGGGCATTCTGGGTTTCCCACTTGGCAAGTGCTGGTTCAGAATCAGTTCTATGTTCCCAGTCTTGCTGGATACAACCAGTCTGAAGAGAAAGCCAGTATTTACAGAGTGTAGTCAGACTCGCTCAGTTTCTTTTCAGCATCCTCATTACAAGGGTGAGCCTTCCCGCTCATGAAAATCATCTCTCAAGAAACCCTGAAGCCTCTAACAAAGGGGCATTGACCCAGCACAATACAACCTTGATATCTGCTTAAGAGAATACTTTCCCGAGAAATTAACTTGCCAGGTTACATTTAAAGTTCCTTGTTAGCTAGGCAGTGGTGGCACATCCCTTTGATCCCAGTACTTGGGAGGCAAAAGCAGTTGAATCCCACAGACATCAAGGCCAGCCTGGTCTACAGAGCTAGTTCCAGGACAGCCAAGGCTACACAAAGAAATCGTTTCGAAAAACCGAAAAAATACATAAATAAATAAAGTTCCTTGTTTTAGTCCTGTATTGTAAAAGGAAACCAAAAAATTATTTTTATTATTAAAAATATCTTTATTGAATGAAACTGATCAGTTCTAGTAGAAGGGACAGAAGCAAATAGTGTAATCTTTTTTTAATTAAAATTTTTTAAAGTTAAAATGGAATTATATTTCAATATAATAAATTTTTATTATCTATATAGTCTTCAATATATTTTTAAAAATCCATACAAAACTTGATCTTCCAGCAAGTGCTGTCTTGTGTAAGTGAACTGCCTACTACAGAGCCAGACAAGATGCAGCTGTCGCCCGAGGGCAGCCTGGCCTTAACTGCCAGCAAGGTGATGGTGTCCCATTACAAACATTTTATACCATCTTATCTCATGCCCATCAACACAACAAAGTCCAGTGCTAAAACCCTAAGAGAAGAAAAGACTACATCACACATAGGGAGCTGACGCTGAGAAGCTATAATGTGAATACACACCAGGTTGTAAGAAGGTAGGCAGCGAAAGCAGCTTCCTCCACGCAGGGTTCACGGATACTGCCAGGTTTAAAGAGCTTCTCTGGTTAATTAAACCGTGTCTGCATCCTGACAGAGATATTTTGTTTTTTCCTTTTAGCATAGTTCCAAACAGGTGTGTAGAGTACGACCTCATTTCTTTGGTATAAAAATATTTTTTTACACAAAAATGGTTCATCAAAAACAAAATACAGTTGCTTTAAGAAGTAAACTTTGAGATTCTGCTGGCCTTTGTACTAAATGCTGCTTATGTGGGACTCACAATCCCCTTTGTCTTTACATGAAGTATGGTAGGAATCACAATCCCCTTTGTCTTTACATGAAGTATGGTATCTGCTTTCTGCCTTCCAAACAGAGTCCTGCTTCTGAAAGAGAACAGAAGCAGTTAAAATGAAAAGGATTAGTTCTGCACAGTACGCTAAGAGTGCCTGGCGTCTGAGACCCTGACTACACACCCTGGCTCTCCTCACTGTACTATATACGTGAAAACCTCCCAGCAAGGAGAGCGGGGTGGGGTGGGGGAGGCAGGGGATGCTCACATGTCTTGCCTTCCTACTGGAAAGGCTCTTGCGCTTAAAGGGCGGCACCCGGGGCACCTCTTGGGGCACCTCTGCCACAGTCCAGAGAGCTGCACTTGGAATGAAGGGCTGACAGAAGCAAACAGAACCCAACAAAGTACTTCCTGGGTGGCAGGCTCACATGATTCTTTCTAGGCAGACGTACAGAAGTGATCCTCAAATGTAAATTTAGATGCCTTTTGAAAAATTCTATTTTCTGGGTCAGGGTCTCACCAGTGTAGCCCAGGCAGACCTCCAACGCCTCATCTTTCTGCTTCAGTCTTCCCAACTTCCAGAGTGCTAGGATTACCACAGTGTATTCTACCGTGTCTGGTCTTGAGTTCTCCCCACCCCACCCCACCCCCTTTTTCCTTTTGAGGCAGGGTCTTATTAGGCTTAGCTAGTGCCTTGAACTTGTAATTCTGCCTGCATCAGACTCCCCACAGGGATTACAGATTGTGCCTGGCTTTCTTTTTATTTAAGACAGAGTTTCTCTGTGTAGCCCTGACTGTCCTGGAACTCACTTTGTAGACCAGGCTGGCCTCGAAATCTCAGAGATCAGCCTGCCTCTGCCTCCTGAGTGCTGGGATTAAAGGTGTGCACCAGCACCACCACCACCACCACCACCTGGCTAAGATTCCAATCTTTAAAGTTGGATTTATACACCAACTTCCTTAGATATAAAAAGTATCAGTATTAAGAACAAAAAATCTTTTGGTCTGTATTTCTCTTACAATTGGCATTCTACTCAGGTTAATTATAGTAAACGTAGATCAGGCAGAAGAGGAAGAATTACTGGTCAGATGAACGTGTGGCCTTGACTCTACATTATCAACATTCCTAGTTACTTATTAATATCAACTTCAATATAAAGTGAGACAAGCAAAGGTGACCTACACATGGCCACAGTGAATGTCCAAGTTGACTTTGTCTCCTTCAATGACTGACAAGGGTGTTTTTGTCATCTGGCTCTTCTGAGACTTCTAATTTCTAGAAAACAACTCCAAAATTAGTATCCAGGTTACAGACATTAAAAATACTTTAGACAACTAGACATGCGTATAGCGGGAATACCTTCCAAAGACCTTGAGGGACTGGTGGACGGTCTAGACTAGAAGCACATGAGGAGCAAGCCTTACGACGGAACAGGGTACCTAAGGCTCACAGTAGGAGAGGACCAACTCCTGACCGCTACACACATGCCACAGCGCTGGCGCTTGAGTGCTCGCTCTCACTCTCTCTCTCTCTCTCTCTCTCTCTCTCTCTCTCTCTCTCTCTCTCTCTCTCTCTCTCACGCACACGCACACGCACACGCACACACAAACAATATAATGTCCTTGTCTTTGGGGGACACTTTCACTGTGTTGTTTTCTGCTGGGCTAGCCTAAACTCAGACTCCCCCATCTCGGTCTCTGTGTGTCTGGACTACAGGCACTTAGCACTGTGCTCGGTCTCTGTGTGTCTGGACTACAGGCACTTAGCACTGTGCTTGGCTCACAAAGCCTTTCTGTCGTCTTTCTCTGCTTGTTTGTGTGGTGGTGGTGTGTGTGTGGGGGTGGGTATGGCGGTCAGAAGACAACTCCTGAGAGCTGATTCTCCCCTGGTGGGTCTAGGGATAGAGACAGAACCCTTGCTGGCAAGAGCTGTTACCAGCTGAGCCAGCTCACCAGCTCACCAGCCCATCATTCTTGTTGTTGTTGCCATTTTTTGTGGTTGTTTGTTTTGATTTGGTTTTTTGAGATAGGGTTTCTCTGTGTAGCTCTGGCTGTCCTGGATCTCGCTCTAGCTCTGGCTGTCCTGGATCTCGCTCTATAGCCCAGGCTGGCCTTGAACTCACAGAGATACACCTGCCTCTGCCTCCCGAGTGCTGGGATTAAAGGTGTGCGCTACCACTGCTGGATGTTGTTGCCACTTTTAAAGATTCTTTAAAAATACACTTACTTATTTGTGTATATGTACATGGCATGGCATGTGTGTGGAGGTTAAAAGACAGCTTGCCAGAGTCAGTTCTCAACCTCCATCATGTGCGTCCCGGGGTCGAACTCAGAATGTCAGTTTAGGCAGCAATAACTTTTACCCACAGACCCACAGAGCCATTTCAGTGGCTCCTTCACCTTTTTTTGGGGGGGCGGGGAGGTTTGGTTTTTTTTCAAGACAGGGTTTCTCTGTGTTGTTTTGGTGCCTGTCCTGGATCTCACTCTGTAGACCAGGCTGGCCTCGAACTCACAGAGATCCGCCTGGCTCTGTCTCCTGAGTGCTGGGATTAAAGGCGTGTGCCACCACCGTCTGGCTTTTTTTTTTTTTTTTTTTTTAAATAGGGTCTCTATGTAGCCCTAGCTGTCCTGGGCTGGTCTCCAACTCACAGAGATCCTCCGGCTTCTGCCTCCAAAGTACTGGGATTCAAGGTGTGCACCACCACTTCTGGCTTAATTTTTCTTTATTTTATTGTTTGTTTTGGGACAGGGTTTTGCTATGCAGCCTTGGCTGGCCTGGAACTTGCTATGTAGACCAGGCTGTACAGATATAGTATAGAATACATACAAACAAAACATTCATCATATAAAATAACAATAAATATATCTTTTAAAAAATACAAGTGTGGCTGGATGGTGGTGGTGGTGCATGCCTTTAATCCCAGCACTTGGGAGGCAGAGGCGGGCAGATCTCTGTGAATTTGAGGCCAGCCTAGTCTAGAGTGAGTTCCAGGACACAGAGAAATCCTGGTCTCAAACAAAACCAAGAATGTTAATATGGGCATGTAATCTCAGAGCTGGAGGACAGAGAGGTGGATCACTGAGCAGGCAGACTAGCCTACTTGGTGAGCTCTGGGATAAAGGTATGTGTCATCATGCCTGATCACTTTTTTGTTTTTTTTTTTTTTTTGAGACAGGGTCTCACTATGTAGCCCAGGCTGGCCTTGGACTCATGATCCTCTCACCTCAGCCTCCCAAGTTTCAGGATTACAGGCATAATCTTAAGCTCATAAATAGAATGTCCAGCACTGTGTACCGGTCACAAGGCCAGCTCGGTCTAGGGCTGAGTTGCTCCATTCTCAACTACAGTCAGGGTCACCCTGGGTGTGGTCAGCAGCACTGCAATTTACTTTCCTTTGTTCTACCTAAGTTTTAAATTGCTGGGTTCTGCTGTTACTGTTGTTGTTGAATAGTTAACACATTTACATTGTTTCAAAAACACCAACTAATATTTAAAAACGGGCCGTGAGATGTCTTTAGCAGTTAAAGGTTCCCGCCACCAAGCCTTTTGATCTGAGTTGGAACCCCAAGGATCCACATGGTCTTCTACAAGCTGTCCTCTGACCTCCACCCATGAGCTCTTGCACATATCTCTTATTCAGTAAATAATATGGCGTACACGTGAAGGAATGTGGTCTGTACCTTTGCATCCTGCTGCGAACAGTCCTTGTCCTATGTAAAGTACACTCTGCTAGTAAGCAAGGCTGCAAGGAAAACCTGGAACGATGCCATTTTGTACCCATGCAGAAGGGTCTGGGAGAGTCACAAAGTGACATTGCTTCTCAAAGGGACAGAAACCTTGCGGTTTCCTGAGGGAGCATCTCTTCCACACAATTACTACCCTTGTCTTTAGCTGCAGACCGTGATACCTCAGAGAGGTGACAGGCTGCTCAGAACATTACCCTGCTTCCTTGTTGCAAAAACAAGATTTTTTATGAAACTGTTTGCTTCTCCTGTTTCTAGGTTAGTAAGTTCAAAGGCATGGGGGAAAGAGTGTGTGAAACATTGCCAAGAACATTTCTGCTGTTTAAATCCGGTTTCCTGACATCTCCAGAATTAGTTAATCCCTCCAAAAATATTGTTTGAAGCCAGTTTTTTTTTTCCCAATTAACTGATTTTCTGATCCTGGCTGTGGAATGCTGAGCAAAAGATTTAATCCCCTTTCCTCGTCTATATAGTAAAGGGTTAGGACTCTATAGGAAAGGGTTAGGACTCTGTAGTAAAGGGTTAGGACTCTGTAGTAAAGGGTTAGGACTCTGTAGTAAAGGGTTAGGACTCTATAGGAAAGGGTTAGGACTCTATAGGAAAGGGTTAGGACTCTATAGTAAAGGGTTAGGACTCTTAGTAAAGGGTTAGGACTCTGTAGTAAAGGGTTAGGACTCTTAGTAAAGGGTTAGGACTCTGTAGTAAAGGGTTAGGACTCTATAGGAAAGGGTTAGGACTCTATAGGAAAGGGTTAGGACTCTGTAGTAAAGGGTTAGGACTCTTAGTAAAGGGTTAGGACTCTGTAGTAAAGGGTTAGGACTCTTAGTAAAGGGTTAGGACTCTGTAGTAAAGGGTTAGGACTCTATAGGAAAGGGTTAGGACTCTGTAGTAAAGGGTTAGGACTCTGTAGTAAAGGGTTAGGACTCTATAGTAAAGGGTTAGGACTCTATAGTAAAGGGTTAGGACTCTGTAGTAAAGGGTTAGGACTCTTAGTAAAGGGTTAGGACTCTATAGTAAAGGGTTAGGACTCTATAGGAAAGGGTTAGGACTCTATAGTAAAGGGTTAGGACTCTATAGGAAAGGGTTAGGACTCTATAGTAAAGGGTTAGGACTCTTAGTAAAGGGTTAGGACTCTGTAGTAAAGGGTTAGGACTCTATAGTAAAGGGTTAGGACTCTATAGGAAAGGGTTAGGACTCTTAGTAAAGGGTGAGGACTCTGTAGTAAAGGGTTAGGACTCTATAGTAAAGGGTTAGGACTCTTAGTAAAGGGTTAGGACTCTGTAGTAAAGGGTTAGGACTCTGTAGTAAAGGGTTAGGACTCTATAGGAAAGGGTTAGGACTCTATAGGAAAGGGTTAGGACTCTATAGGAAAGGGTTAGGACTCTGTAGTAAAGGGTTAGGACTCTATAGGAAAGGGTTAGGACTCTGTAGTAAAGGGTTAGGACTCTGTAGTAAAGGGTTAGGACTCTATAGTAAAGGGTTAGGACTCTATAGGAAAGGGTTAGGACTATATCTTTCTTCTGGGTCTTCCCAACTCAGAATTCCCTCAAATCAAGTTTTCACCAGCCTCACACAGCTTCAGTACATTTTTCAGTCTAGACTCAAGGTCACAGCTTTGTCCCTTTCCCTGAACTTTCCTCTCAGTTCCCACTCACAGTCATTACTGTGTAGCCTGGGTAGCAGGGGGATCAACCATCGTGTACCCTGATGGAAATGCTGCTGGAGATAAATACACAGACCACGGAGACCAAAAGAGGAAGTGCTGGGTTAGATCTGAGATAGCAGACAGGGTCTAACATAAACACAACGCCCTCTTCTAGCCTCCCCTCACACTGAGCAGACATGGTGCACAGCACGTGCAGGCAAAACACTTACACACACAATAACCTTTTAAAGAGTACAAGTGTGTCAGAACGGGCTGAAAATCTCAGAGGTGGGAAAGCAGAGACGTGCCAGCCAGACTAGCCTACTTGGTGAGTTCCAGTACAAGACCTTGTCTCAAAACATGGTGGGTGGCACCTGAGGAACACTACCCAGCATTGTCCTCCAGCCTCCATCGGCATTTGCACACATGTGCATGTGTACCTGCACATACAAGTGCACCCTCAAGAGGCAGGGGCAGATGGATCTGTGAGTTCAAAACCAGTGTAATCTACAGCAAGTTCCAGGACAGCCGGGGCTACATAGAGAGACCCTGTCTGAAAATCAACATAAAAAAAAAGTTAAGCCGGGCGGTGGTGGCACACTCCTTTAATCCCAGCACTCGGGAGGCAGAGGCAGGCGGATCTCTGTGAGTTCAAGGCCAGCCTGGACTACCAAGTGAGTTCCAGGAAAGGCACAAAGCTACACAGAGAAACCCTGTCTCAAAAAACCAAAAAAAAAAAAAAAGTTAAGGAGGCTGGAAAGGGGAGAAGAAACAATGAACTAGGATTAGAGAGACTTCAGGGGAAGAAATGCAAAGGTCAGGCCTTGGTTGGATAATGATCTGAACATAGAGCAAACAGATGTGTCGAGTGAGTGGGAGAGCTAGAAAAGACAGTCATTAGAGGCCACTGAGGGTTTGCAGTGGCTTTCCTGAGTGTGGTAATGTTATTATGGTTGTTTTTTAAAAGTCCTCACCTGCTGGGTATGGTGCCACATGCACATAATCTTTTGTACTTTAGGAAGTAAAGGCGGGAGGAGGCTGAGTTCTAGGCTAGTTACATAGTAAGACCTGCCCCCGCCCGCCAAAGAAATCACACACCTGAAAGAGATGCATCTTGAAATATCCAAGAGTGAAAGACTATGTCTTGAATTTGCTCTAAACTGCTTCTGAGAAGCGTACAGAGGGGCTGGGGAGATGGCTCAGCAGGTAAAGGCCCCTGCTGCTACGGCTGATGTCCTGAGTTGGATCCTCAGAGCCCAACAGCAGAAGGAGAGAAAGAACCCCCACATATACTATGCACATTCTTGCTCTCCCTCTCTTTCGTTCTCTCTCCTCACTCTCTCGCTTGTGCACATGCTTGCGAACACACACACACACACACACACACACACACACACACAGGAAAACACACAGAAACGCCAGACATACTGGCATATTTCTTTAATCCCAGCACCAAGGAAGCAGAGGCAGGCAGATCTCCATGAGTGAGGTGAGAGGCCAGCATGGTCTACATAGTAATTCCAGGCTAGCCAGGGTTAAGGATAAGACCCTGCCTGTCTCAAACACACACACAAAAGTAAAGAAACGTAAATTTTAAAGCATACAGAGGAGGAACATAAAAATTTTAAATGGCAGATGTGCAATTATATTATTTTTTTCTACTTTTGTGTGTTCTTAAAATCCTGTGTACACTTTAAATTTGAAATTTTGGAGCCGGACATGGTAGTGTGCAGTTTTAATCCCAGCACTCAGGAGGCAGAGGCAGATAGATCTTAGTGAGTTTGAGGCCAGTCTGGTCTATGTAGTTCCAGGACAGCCAGTGCTACACAGGGAGACCCTGTGAAACTCTGTGTATTTTAAAACATGCCCAAGAACCTAGGTGAAGGGTAAGGTACTATGGAAGGCCCTAGGCTCCGTTTGCAGCAGCACAAAATGACAAACACTAAATGCATGCATTCCGATGTCCCACAAATCAGAAAGAAGCAGGGGCAGTTTTGACACAGTGACAGTTTTTGGTTTTGTCTTACTCTCTAGACCACAGTATGGCTTTTTCTCCTCAGCACAGTGCCTGCCTTTCTTCTTGAAGCCTTCATTTTATCAGAACGGCCACCTCCTAGTACTCCCTGAGCCCTACCGCTTAGAGACATATTCAGACTCTATCGATGTACATCTCAAGAAAAGGGGGTCCGGGCTGGGGACACAGAACAGTCAGTAAGTGTAGCCATGCAAGCATGAGGACCTGAGTTTGACCCCCAACACCTGCATAAAAAGACAGATGTGATACATGCTCTTGTAACCCCAGTGCTGGGGAGCTGGAGAAGGTGGATCCCCTGGGACCTGCTGGCCAGCCAGACTAGCCTAATCATCAAGCTTAGGTCCCAGTGAGAGACGTCCTAGGGAGAGACCTTGTCTCAAATGACAAGGCAGATAGCTCCTGAGCAACAACACTGAGGTTGTCTTCTGGCCTACATAACCACACACACACACACACACACAGACATGCACACTCCTCACTGCACGTACACCTACACACAAATTTTTTTAAGAGAAAGAAAGGGGAACGCACACTTCTGTTGAGATTCTCACAGCTGATGGGCAGCAGTGTGCTCAGCTCCAGATCCGTGACCATCTGCCGAGACTCGGCCAGCAGGCGCTGGAGCTTACTGGTAGGAGAAAAGTCATCCTGAAAAAACAATGCAGTTCAGCACTGTGAGCCAAGGTGCATTTTTAAGTGCTTTTGCACAATCACAGTTTATAACACAGCTGTTAACTCTCTATCAATGGTAGAGATCAGTATTACAAAAAAACCACCCAATTCCTTTCATTTCTTATAACCTACTCAGTGAAATAATGCAACGTAAACAGAACCTACTACAACTAATTATAAGAAAAGGTTTCTAGACATTTCCTAAATAAAAACCAGGATGGGTATGGTGTCATACACCCTTAATCCCAGGACTTGGTAGGCAGAGGCAGGCCGATCTCTGAGTTCAAGGCTAGCTTAGTCTACTTAATGAGTTCCAGGCCTGCTAGGGATACATAGTGAGACCTCGTCTTTAAAAAAAAAAGGTGGGGGGAGGTGTGGAGAGATGGCTCAGCTCTTTAGAGCACTGACTATTCTTCCAGAGGTCCTGAGTTCAATTCTCAGCAACTACATGGTGGCTCACAACCATCTAAAGTGGGATCTGATGCCCTCTTCTGGCATAAAGTCATACATGCTGATAGAGCACTCATACACATTAAATAAAACAAGTAAGTCTTAAGAAATCAAGTCATGATTAGCAGGTCAAAGTAACTGCAAAACAGAACCTTAGCACTAAAGGTATGTGGATATGTGCTTTAACTTAATCCTGCTATTTTATTTTTATTGGTGTTTTTGAGGGTGACAATCAGAGGACAAAGTAAAAGAGTTAGCTCTCTTCCCAGTGTAAGTTCTAGGAACCAAACTCAGTTGTCAGGCTTGGTGGCAAGCACCTACCCTCTCTCTGAGCCATCTAGATGGTCTTTAATTTAAAAACAAAACACTGATTTATTTTGTGTGTGGAAGATATGTTCCACGACATGAAGTTGGAGGAAAACTTTGCAAAGTCAGTTTTCTACTTCTGCCCAGTGGATTTGGGTGTCTGATTCGATCACCAGGCTTGGCTGCGATTGCCTTTACCCAAACCCAACCACCCTACAGCCAAATAAATAATGCAGAAGGAGGTGGCCATCTCACCAGCTTTTTTTTTTTTGGTTTCTTGAGACTGGCATTTCACTCTGTAGCCCAGGCTGGCCTAGAACTCACTATGTAGCTCAGGTCAGCTCAGACTCACAATCATCTGCCTCTGACTGCAGTGTCAGGTTACAGGTGTGTACCACAACCTCGGTGTTGTCTGCCTTCCTTCCTATGGGATTTGTGCATTAAAAAAAAAAAAAAAAAAAAGAGCCCAGGCGGTGGTGGCGCACGCCTTTAATCCCAGCACTCGGGAGGCAGAGGCAGGTGGATCTCTTTGAGTTCCAGGCCAGCCTGGGCTACCAAGTGAGTCCCAGGAAAGGCGCAAAGCTACACAGAGAAACCCTGTCTCAAGAAAAACAAAAAAGAAAAAGAAAAAAAAAAGGAAATAAAAGATCTGAAAAACTATTTGTTGTATCTAAGCTTATTGCGCTCACTTATTATTTAAAATCAGACAGTAACATCCCCCTCTTTTTTGAGACAGTCTCTCTGTGTGCCCTGGCTGCCCTGGAACTCACTGTGTAGACCAGGCCGACCTCAAACTCAGGGATCTGCCTGCTTCTGTCTTTCCAGTGCTGGGATTAAATGTGTGTAATCAAAGCCGAGCTAGTTTTTGTTTGTTTACTTTTCTTTTGAGAAAGGAGGAAAATGTAGGTGTGGTGGCTCATACCTATAATTCAAGCACCGAAGAGGGGACCCTGTTAAAGAAAAAAGAAAAAGAGAAGGAAGAGGATGTGGTGTACACCTATAACACCAGCACTTGGGCACAAGTACGTTCAAGGTTGTCCTTAGCTACACAGCTGGTCCCAGGCCAGCCTGGGCTACATGAGACCTTGTCTCAAAATAAAAGCAAGCAAGCAAACAAAAACCCCAAAAACACATTTAAAAAAAAAAACAGAAAAGGAGGGGAAGAATTTATAAAACATCCTTTACTTAGAGAAAGTGCTCATCCCTGCTGTAGTTCCTGAATCCTTACCATCAGTAAGATGCTGAAGGAGAAACCACACACACACACACACTCGCAGGAGAGTGGAAGGAAAGCTACGCCCTCTGCTTTATCACCAGACCTGCTCTGCCCATGATCATGGGCAGAATGGAGATTTCATCCAGACCCAGCTTTCCGGGGACTCACAAAGGTGGGAGGGTTCCTTCTGTAGTAAAATGCAATGCTGTACACTGTCATTTCTGCAGCCATGTCTTTAAGGTCACCAGTATGTCACCTTTGACTCTATGGAGACTGCTGTCACCAGGGGTGTGTGGAGGGATGGGCGGCTAAGGACAGGCAGCTGAGTGGAATTTGCTGCCAATTCTTTTTGTATTGCTGTTGGTTTCAAGTTGAATAAAAAAATCAATACAGCAGTTTCTGAAAGGAAAAAATACTTTTTAAAAAGAACCTTGAGGACTGGCAAAATGGCTGAGTTCAATCTCTGGAACCCACAGTAGAGAGACAGAACCAATACTAGAAAGCTAGCCTCAGACTTTCCCATGAATGCGCACATACCTGCACTCACACATGCACATCACACACATACAGACAATATTAATAAATGAAAATTTAAGAAAAGAAAAGTAAACTGGATGGTGGTGGCACACACCTTTAATCCCAGCACTCGGGGAGGCAGGCAAAGGCAGGTAGATCTCTGGGTTCAAGGCCAGCCTCCGGCTCACCTACATGGTCTGGAAAGCGCCATTCCTCTCTCTCTCTCTCTCTCTCTCTCTCTCTCTCTCTCTCTCTCTCTCTCCAAACCCTGCCTGCTCAGAGAGTCTCTGAACAAAGGAAAGGTGCCAAGAAGCCCAGTTCTGCACTCTTGGCGACTATAGCCACTTCCTCCCCTGATGCCTCCAGCCGCCCAAGTCATTCCCACTCCACACCCCCAATGCTCAGCTTTTGACCATGCTTGGGCACAAACCCAGCTTGTGGATCATCACTCCTCGCCCACAGTCTATAAAATCCCCTGCCTTAGTTCGGGTTCCAGACTTCTCTGGCCTGTTCTTGGAGACCAGTGAACCTGTCCTGGATTGCTTTGCTCAATATACCTGTTGCTATACTTCTTCAATTCTGCTAGATCTGGCTTACTGCGTTGGTGGAAAAACACCTATTAGCCTGGTCTACAGAATAAGTTCCAGGACAGCCAGCGCTATTCCGTGAAACACTGATTTAAAAAACAAAAAACAAAACAAAACAAAAAACACAGAAAGAAAAGAAAAGAACCTAAAAAGGGGTGAGAAGACAATGGGGAAAAGTACAAGATCAAAGGGTGTGTGTGTGTGTGTGTGTGTGTGTGTGTGTGTGTGTGTGCGCGCGCGCGCGCGCGTGCAAAATTGTGAAAAAATAAACATTTTCAAGTAACCTTAGAGGCCTATGACTTCAAATAAATTTAGTGCCAGATACTGTGGCGCACGCCTTTAGTCCCAGCACTCGGCAGGAGGATCTGAGTTTGAGGTCAGCCTGGTCTAGAGTGTTCCAGGATACTAGTTCCATAATGGCTAGGTCTATGTAGAGAGACCCTGTCTCCAAAACTAACTGCCCCCAAAAGAAAAACCCCCAAAATACACTCAGATGCATTTTATTTTATGTGTATGAGTGTTTTGGCTGTATGCATGAGCACATGTGTGAATGATACCCAAGAAGTTCAGAAGAGGACTCCTGAAAATGGATTTGTAGATGGTTGTGAGCCACCAAACCTGGGTCTTGTCCAACAGCAGCAAACACTAACTACTGAACCATCTCTCCAGTGTGGAAGAAGGCTCAGTCACACAAGCCCGTGACGGGAAAACCTAGAAATGGCCAAAATTAAGCAACAATGCTACAGAAGAATAAAAGCATGCCAAGGAGAAACTCTGCTTGACTAAACTGGGAACTTTCATGTAAAACATAAACCTTTTCATTGGACAATGCGGCATCTTTGCTGATGAACACACTCTTGGATGAGGTTCTTTTGTCTGGAGAGGCCCCTGACTCATCTTCTCTTTCAGCAGACTTGGAGGACCCCAAACACTGCGGAGGCTGGATGGTTATAAGCTCACTGCAAACGAGACCAAAAAGAAACAGTGTCACACACCTGTCACTCATACACTTCAAAGTACGCTAAGAGGACCAAAAAGGGCCGGCGTGTTGCTCAGATTTATAATCCCAGCACTTGGTAAGGAAGCCAAAGTGGGAAGATTAACCCACCACACGTCTAGGCCAATCTGAGCTACACAGTAAGTTCCATGCTAGCCTAGGGGACAGAGTGAAATGCCGTCTGAAAAGTAAAAAGAGAGAGGGAAAACAAAGAAGAATGTAGCCGGGCGGTGGTGGTGCACGCCTTTAATCCCAGCACTTGGGAGGCAGAGCCAGCCAGATCTCTGTGAGTTCGAGGCCAGCCTGATCTACAGAGTGAGATCCATGACAGGCACCAAAACTACACAGAAAAAAAAAAAAAAAAAAAAAAAAAGATTGTGACAGGGTCTTGCTATATAACCCAGGATGGCCTCAAACTTGGCTAACAAGCATACATTACCACCTCTAGCTTAAACATGTTTTTTGAAATGAAGTTAAGGTTGAATGGAATAATTTGATCTGAGTAGCATATTATACATTAATGCATACTTTTGCAAGTAAAAATTAAAATCTGTAGTTCAGGGTAACTACAAGAACAAGGAATTTTCCTCTTTCAAAAAGTACAGAGGTATGGGGTAGAGAAATGGCTCACCAGTTAACAACGTGTGCTGTTCTTACAGAGGACCCAAGTTTATTCCCAGCACCCACATGGTCATTCACAACCATCTGCAACTCCAGCTTCCAGAGATCTGACACCTTCTTCCGGCCTCTACAAACAACTGCGCACACGCACACGCGCACACACACACACACACACACACACACACACACACACACACACACACACACACTGCTGCTTACTGCTTCTGAAGAGTACCTGGGCTCAGTTCACAGAACCCACATAGCAGTTCACAATTGGCTGTAACTCTAGTACCAAGGAATCCAATGTCCTCTTCTGGAAAACACCCATATACATAAGATAAAATTATTTAAAAAATGTATTTTTAAACCTTTAGCCCAGCAGTGTACACACCTTTAATCCCAGCACTCGGAAGACAGAGGCAGGTGGATCTTTATGTTCCAGGCCAGCCTGGTCTACAGAGCAAGTTCCAGGACAGCCAGGGCTACACAGAGAAACGTTGTCTCAAAAAGCCTTTTAAAAAACAAAACAACAAACAAACAAAGAAACAAAGAAAAGTCCAGCATGGTAGAGCATGCCTTTGATCCTAGAACTCAGGAGGCAGAGGCAAATGGAGCTCTGTGAGTTCAAAGGCAGCCAGAGCTATACAATGAAACCGTGTTTCAAAAAAACCAATAAATGAAGCTTTAGAAGCACAGAAGGACCAAGACAGCTCAGTGGGTAGAGCTGCCTGTCACTAAGTCTGGGGGCTGAATTCCATCTCTAGAACCCACATGGTGGGAGAGAACCAACTCCATAGTTGACTTCTGAACTCCACACACTAATAAATAAATGTAGTTTTGTTTTTTTTGTTTTTGTTTTTTTTAAGTATGAAGGCTAGGGGTGCAAGCTCACTAGCTTAACATTCTCAGCCCTGGGTTCAAACTCTGAAACAAAACAAACAGAGTTTTAGTGAAAAAATAAAGAAGGTGCTCGGGACAAGATCCCCCAGACGGCAGGGGTAAGCACTACTAACAGTGTAAGAATAAACCATGAAAAGTTAGGCTTCTGGCTTGTGAAATGACACATGCCCAGGACTTTGTGAAAGTGGAGTGGCACTGGGCAGGTGTCCCTGCAGGTACCAGAGCTGAGGAAACACAGAAGAGCAAGCGCCTGTGCTTCCCCTCACCAAGAGACCTCACTTGTTAAGTGGAAAGAGGCACAAACGTGAACATTCGCCTAATCAAGTGGATACGCAGGTTCTTGTAATCTGAGGGAAACAGGAAAACACCACTATCTCCTACTTAATCACGCATTGGTCCCGAGCATGTGGCTCAGCTGGCAGAACAAGCTGACATTAAATTACTGAAGTTAGTGAGGTCAAAGGGGCCTTGAAGGAAAACCCTGAATGTAAATTTGAATTTATCTGTACATTCAATTTAACACACACACACTCACACTGCTCTCAAAACTACCCAATGCAGGCTTTCCCCTTATAAAGAGAGAATGTTTTCTGGGGGATAGTTCTCAAGGCTGTAGCTTAGTGGCAGAGCCCCTGCCCAGCATGAACAAAGCCCCCATTTCAATTCCCAGCAACACACACACACACACACACACACACACACACACACACACACACACACACACACACACACAAGATCTTGCTTACTAGGGATAAACAGACAGCTATGCCTGCCTGATACTTGCAGCATTCCAAAGATCTTTAAAAACCAAATGACTTAATGACATCTAGTATAGCAAACGATTTTTAATTTTGCACTTGGCAGAATATCTCTATGGTTTTTAATGACTCAAGCTTCTTTAAAAGGCCCAAAGAATACCCTACATAATGTAAGTACTAGAAATTTTAATCCTAAAGTCCTGTGAAAGTCAATGCAATGATTAAAATAAGGCTCTCAATATAGAAACTTCATCCTTTCTGTGCTCTGAAGAGCTATGCTTTACTTAAAAATAGCAGGCATTATTACAGTGCCACTCAGCCACAAGATTCAGCAACTCTAACAATAAGACAAGCTTGAATAATTTAGCATATACTAATTATCTTATGAAAAAAGAAGCCAGTTGCTTTTATCAGCTTGTTAAACACCAATGTTCTGTCTTTCACTTATTTAAAAAATAAGAAAGCCTAGGAAATGAAAAGTTTAAAACAGATAGGAGCTAGACACAGAGGTGCCTGGGAACTGAAAACAGGTATGAGCTGGACACAGAGGTGAGGCATCGTGGGTATGTGACGTGGAGTGATCCTAGATAAGAACAAACAGAAACGGTGACTTGGGGTCTGTACTGCAGTCTGGGCCTCAAAGGGTCAGCCTATCAAATGGAAAGGATCCTAGGGTGAGGAATGCTCCAGAACAGCATTCCACTCCGCACAGTGACCTACTTGTTTGTTTTCTAACAAAACAGCTTTGCCCAACTCATAACTGGTTTTATTTTTAAGTAAAACCTCTGCCTCAGAAGCCGCCCTCAGTGCAAACTCTCTTTATGGGAGTCTATAAAGTCTTCTTGCACAAAGACTCAAGTGTCTATGCCAAGAGGAAAAGAGCAAAAAGGTCTGTCTTAAGTGCGACTGCAGTCTGCAAACGGTGCTTTCTCGCTGGCCATAGGCATAAATGTCTACTGCAGCCCTATCTGGGCCTGTTGTCGCTTATGCACCTGTCTTTACAGATGTGAACATCACTAACCTTGCTGAGGAATTATATTTCATTCCACTGACACCTCCTGAACAAGTGCACAAAGTTTTGTGGCGAACAATCCTTTGCATTTTGGAAGGCTTGAAAATGTTCATCCACTCTACGTCAGTCATGTGTCCTGGGGCTTCGACGATGATGTTACTCGGGTGGCAGCACTTGGAATCACACAGGTCACTGTCACCCATACAGACTTCATTTTGGGTGCAGCATGAGATTTCAGACATATCTGCAGGGTCACGGCAGTCCCCATCAAGCTTTTCCGGCTGTTTTACAACAGAGCAGTTAGAAAGGCCCAGGTAAACATTGATGTCATGCCATTGCTTCTCTTCAGGCAGCGAGATGGATGTTTCTGAGAGCTGCTTCTCCTCCATCTGAAGCTCTGGTCCATTGCTTCTTGGAGATTTTGCATGAATCTTGCATAGTGTAACTTTGTTTTCCGGTTCAGTCTGGATTTTTCCACCCAGAGACCAAGACTTTTGTTTCTCCAGTAAGTCTTTGGTAAACAGAGACGAGAGAGCAATTACACTTCCTTCCCCAAAGGCAGTCTTAACCTGTAGCTTCTTCTCTCTGCACGCGTCACAAGAGCTCTTGTCTGACCTATTGTGCTGAGCCAACGTGACCTCAAACTTTTGATCCTTAACCAATGACTTCTGATTTCTCTCTCTCTTAATATCGATTTTTGGGTAGTTATTGTCAAGGTCTGATAAACACATGTCTCTGCTACAGTGGCATTACAAAAAAATAGGAGTTATAAGATAAATTTGATACTATCATCTACTAGTATTACCTCCCCCAAGCCTCATTAGTAGTCCTAAATCCCAATAAAACCCATTAGTCTGACTTTCAGAGCCCAGTTTCAGCCCCACCTCCTACAGGAAGCCTTTCTGAACAAAAAGCCTACATTCCCCTCCCCTTTCTATCCCTCACTCATTGTGTTTACCATCAAAACAATAGCAACAAAATCAAAACTACTAGAGAAATGTAACAAGACCTTTGCCATGCTTCCCTCTAAGGTTTTTCCTATCAGGGATTTTATGTTTGATTTGAGACAGGTTCTCACTTGTAACCCAGGCTGGCCTAGAAACTGTGATCTTCCTGAATACTAGGAATACAGGCATGCACACCATGCTGGGCTTGTATTCACCAATTCTGATCCCTTAGAAAGCACAGCTCTTTCTTTCCATGATGGCCTGAGCCACTTCCTTCCTTCCTTTTTTTTTTTTTTTTAACTTTATACATTTATTGGTTGGTTGGTTGGTTGGTTGGTTGGTTGGTTGACTCTGTGTGTGTGTGTGTGTGTGTGTGTGTGTGTATGACAGAGAGAGAGAGAAAATGGAGGTCAGAGGACAACTTATGGCAGTTGCTTCTCTCCTTGCACCACATGGGGCTGGGGATGGAACTCAGGTCTTCAGGCTTGGTGGTAAGTACCATTACCTCTGGAGCCATCCTGCCAGCCATGGCATGAACTACTTCTAAGAAGCAACTTCAACTCATCCAGTGCCTCCCAGTGGCAATGAAGTTCAAAGAGTGAAAAGACATATGTCAAAGGCTTCTGCTTGAAAGAGAACACTGCGTGGGCCTGGTCTGCTGGTGGCAGCCGTAGATGGGACACAGAGCAACAGAGTGGCAATTCCTGCAGAAGGTACGAGGAGAGAAGTACAGCGCAGCACAGTGAATCCTGCTGCTGCCAGCTGCAGTTACAGCTCTCACGCCCTGGCCCTGCAGCTACCGACTCCAGTTCTCCCCGGGAGAGGAGCTGGAGTCACCAGGCACTGACAATCTAGTTCAGACTTCGTAGTCCCCTGCAGACGGGATGCCTCAATCCCTCTTCCTGAAAAGCACAGCGGCTTTAGTCAGACATGCTGGCACAGGTCTGTAATCCCAGTAAAGAGGAAGACTGCCATCAGTGTAAGACCAGCCAGGGTGACGACTTAGTGAGAACATATCTCAAAAACAAAAAAGAAAGGAAATGGACTCCACTGTAGTAGTTTGTCTGCGTTATCAAGCCACTCTTCAAGTGGTTTGGATTTACACTCATCCCCACAATTCTTTTTTTTTTTTTCTAAGATTTATTTATTATTATACAGTGTTCTGCCTGCAGGCCAGAAGAGGACACCAGATCCCATTACAGATGGTTGCGAGCCACCATGTGGTTGCTGGGAATTGAACTCAGGACCTCTGGAAGAGCAGCCAGTGCTCTTAACCACTGAGCCATCTCTCCAGGCCCCTCATCCCCACAGTTCTTGTCACAATCCAGGGAAGGATGCCTCCTACTAACTGGCAAACAGGAAAAGCTGAGCCCTGCTGCAGTCACTGATGCTATTCTTTGCATTATTCTTTGAGGCCGGTACCAAGTCCCACAGATCTTATTCGACGGTAAGTCCATCACCTAAGCAATGGCCGGGCTGCACTAATGAAGGCCTGGCCATCTGCAGTGTCTACTCGGGCTCAGAGCCTTTTACTCACAGACACACAGACCTGGCCTATGATTTTATTTTCGTTAGATGACTAGCTGACACCTACAGATTACACATAAATTCTTACATCAGGTCCTCTATAGCACTAGGATTATAGTAATTATTATTGTACACAGATTTATTTCCTAGTGTACAAGAAAAAGTGGCGGGTACTGGCTTACAGAAAGCACAGAGGAAGTGAAAATCAACATCAATACCATCAGCTAAGATTACCTGCATCCCAGGGCCTTTGATTCCTCCATCTTTGAGTCATATATCTGTATTAATTCCTGAGAATTTTCTACATTGAAATTAAGAAACTGCAGGTCACTCTGTTGTTTTACGTAAATCTGCCAGAGATGTCAACAAATCAATACAATAAGAACAAATCCAAACTGAATCAACAGTTTGGCACTTTGAAATCCTAAAACAGACCGGATGGTTTGCTTTGCTGTCTCCTATGGTAGCAGAAGGATATTTCCATACATCCTAAACTCTTAATTCCCACAGCCAAGACACTATCTGCTACACTAACTATGTCGTATGCCTGATATAGTGAACAGCCAGGAGGCACCATTAACAAAATCAACAGGTGCTGGGTGATGGCGGCGTATGCCTTTAATCCCAGCACTTGGGAGGCAGAGACAAGTCAATCTCTAAGTTCAAGGCCAGCCTGGTTTACAGAGCAAGTTCCAGGATGGCCTTGTCTCATTAAAAAACAAAACAAAACAAAAAAACCCCAAACAAACAAACAAACACACAGCCCCTCCCCCCCCCACATACACACATAATCAACAGGCAGACAGCTTCCTAATTCCCCAACGTTTCCTACCTATGGTCACAGTGGACAGATGGAACATACCTGTCTCAGATTGTGTAGCTCTGAATTTGTACGATCTTGCTTTGACTTGGCAATATCAAGTAACTCATCCTTCCTCTTTTCTCTCTCGGCTGTATAAGGACAAAAATGATTGGATATTTCTCATCAGTAATATCAACACACATCTCTCAGGTTCTTAAGATTTAACAATTAACATTTTTGTTGTGGTTCTTACAAACTGTAGAATGACTGACTGAGAAGAGCTTTCATGTGTGATTCTAATTAAATCATTCATGAAACAGGAAAATGCACAAAGTAATTAATGATGTTAAGTCAAAAAAGGATTTAAAGTATATGTATGTGCTTATAAGAAAATATGCAAAAAAAAAAAAAAAAAAAAAAGCCCGAAAGCAAGTGAGGCACAGGAGCACATACCTGTAATTGCATCACCTGGGAGTTGGAGGTGAGAAACTCGGAAATTCAAGGCTAGCCTGGGTTACATGAGACTCTGACTCAAAACAAAAAACAAAAAAACAAACAATAAAAACCAAAGCTTGAGAGCAGGTATTGAGAAGTGGTCATTATCTTTACTCACGGAGACAGGATCCCTCTATCAATCCAGGCTGGCCTTGAACTTATGATCTTCCTGGAGCCTCTACACTGTTGGGATTATGGTATCCTACCAGGTCTGGTTAAGGAATTGCTTTTAACTTTAAAGATTTGATTTTTTAAATTGTTTGCATGTGAGTGTCTGCATATATGTATGTACATCACATACATGCTTTTGGAGCAGAAGAGGGCACCAGGTCCCTTGGAACTGAAGTTACAAACAATTGTGAGCTGTCAGTTGCCATGTGGTTACTGGGAATTGAACCTAGATCCTCTGGAAGAGCAGTCATTGCTCTTAACTGCTGAGCCATCTCTCCAGTCCTAGGAATTTATTTTTAACAAGCTGGGCTTAATGATGTACACCTGTGTTCCCAGCTACTCCAAAGTCTGACACATGAAACTCATTTGAGGCCAAGAGTTAGAGAATAGTCTTGGCAACACAGAAGGACCCTATTTAAAACATTACAAAAACATATAAAGAAGTGATTTTTAGGAGATGGGGATAAGGCTTAATGGTAGAGTGCTTAGTTAGCACATGGAAGGCCTTAGGTTAGATCCCTAGCATCAGCATTACACAAAAGAGAATATAGAAAGAAAAAGGTACTATCCCCAAACATACATTAACAGTGTACATAAGAACTGGTTTGAGCTGCACAGTGGTGGCTCACTCCTTTAATCCCAGCACTCAGGAGGCAGAGGCAGGTGGATCTCTGTGAGTTTGAGGCCAGCCTGGTCTACAGAGTGAGTTCCAGGACAGCCAGAGCTATTACACAGAGAAAACCTGTCTCTGAGGAAAAAAAAAAAAAAAGGATTGATTTGATTCACACAGCCACATCAGAAATAATGCTTCACTTAAAAAAAAAAAAAATCAAGCCGGGCGGTGGTGGTGCACGCCTTTAATCCCAGCACTGGGAAGGCAGAGGCAGGCGGATCTCTGTGAGTTCGAGGCCAGCCTGGTCTCCAAAGCGAGTTCCAAGAAAGGCGCAAAGCTACACAAAGAAACCCTGTCTTGAAAAAACCAAAAAAAAAAAAAAAAAAAAAAAAAAAATCAATACCAAGAGATGGAAATGAAATTATTCTTAGTTGGTATTTGTCTTAGTTACTTTAGTTAGTTACTTAGTTACTTTCTATTGCTGTGAAGAGACACACCAACTTATCAAAGAGTTTACTGGGGGCTTCCAACTCCAGAGGGTTAGAGTCCATGACTGTCATGGTGGGAAGCATGTCAGCAGCAGAGAACTTACATCCTTATCCACAAGTAAGAGGTAGAGAAAGGGCTGGAGAGGTGGGTCAGTGGTTAGGGGTGCTTACTGCTCTTCCAGAGAACCACAGTTCAGCTCCCAGCACCCATCTCAAGCAGCTCACACCCGCCTGTAACACCAATCCCATGGTTGTCCTCATCTGGCCTCCAGAACACTGCAATCACATGCATGCACACACACACACACACACAATTTAAAATAAAAAATAAAATCTTTTAAAAAAAGAAGAGGCAGAGAAAGCTCACTATGAATGACATGGGCTTTTGAAAAACTCAAAGCCCACCACTACTGACACATCTCCTACAACAAGACCATATAATCTAATCCTTCCTAAACAGTTCCACCAACTGGGCACCAAGTATTCAAACATATGAATCTACAGGGCATATTTTCATTTAAAATACCATAGTATCAAACCTTGTATATGTGTATTTTAAATTAATGCATTGTTCTTCATAAGTGTATGGTATTATTATTACAATTATCAGTGGTGTTAGAGATCAAATCTAGGTCTGGAGCATGCTAAGAAAGTGCTTTAATACTGAGCTATATTTCCAGGCAATATGATGAATCACGACTCAATTAAAAATAAATTTTTGGAGGCTGAAGAGATGGCCCAGCAGTTGAGAGCACTACCTGTACTTACATAGGATCTGGTTCAGTTCCCAACACCCACACAACAGATCATAATAATCTGTAACTCCAGTTCCAGGAAATCTGATGTCCTTTCTGGTCTCCTTGGGCACCAGGCATGTGTATGGTACACAGGTATACAAGCAGGCAAACACTCATACACATTAAAAAATATCAAATAAATAAACAAACTTTAGAAGCTGGTATGCTAGTGTATATCTATACTCCCAACACATGGGAAGTAGAGGCAGGAGAATCAAGAATTCAAAGCTTCCCTGGGCCACATAAGACTTTGGCTCAAACAAACAAACAAAAAAACACAATAAGCAAGCAAACAGACACATTTTAATTTAACATTAATTTCTGATCTTAGTATTATTTTGTGATTAGGATTTACTTCTACTTGTCTATCAGTGTGCATGTCTATGAGTGTGTGTGAGATGCTTGGAGACCAAAGGAGGTATCACTTTCCACCTGTTTTTTTTTTTTAATGATAATTCTTTTAAAAGTGAAATAAAATCACATCATTTCCCCCTTTCCCTTTCCCGCCTCCAATCCCATTCACGTAGCCTTGCTCTTTCAAATTCATGGCCTCTTTTTCTTTGTGGGTTTTTTTTTTGTTTTTTTTTTTTTTTGGTTTTTCGAGACAGGGTTTCTCTGTGTAGCTTTGCGCCTTTCCTGGATCTCGCGCTGTAGACCAGGCTGGCCTCGAACTCACAGAGATCCACCTGCCTCTGCCTCCTAGTGCTGGGATTAAAGGCGTGCGCCACCACCGCCTGGCTTCTTTGTGGGTTTTTTATACACACACACACATACACACATACACACACACACAGTCCATATAACGTTACTTAGCCACATGTGATTTCAAGGCTGACCACTTGGTGTTGATAACCAACTGGGGGCTCTTTCCTGCTGTCCACCTATATTTTTATAAGGAGCAAATAATTTATTGTATTTGTTTTTAAAGTAACTGCAAGTGCACACGTGCTATGCACACTTCTGGAGGTCATGGATTTGGGACTTAGTTCTCTTCTACAGTGTGGGTCCTGGAGATTAAACTCAGTTTACCAGCCTTAGCAGCAGACATTTTTACCCACTGAACCACACACAGTTATACATGTGGAGGTCAGAGAGTAAGAATCTGCTCCCTCCTTCCACCGTGTAGGTCTCAAGTATTGAACTCAGAGGCTCGGGCTTGGCAGCAAACGCTTTTCCTGGATGAGCCATCTCAAGAGCCTAGCTAGTCTCTACCTACTTCTGTGAGGCAAAGTCTTTCCCTGAATCTGGTTAAATCTGGGCTAGAAGGCAGCAAACCTCAAGGATCCCCATGTCTCTGTTCCCCTCAGAGCTGGGTAATTTCAGGATGCCTGGCTTGGCCCTGGGCGCTGGGCTCCATCTGGTCCTCAGGATTACAGGGTAAGTACTCTTCACCATTGAGCTACCTCCCAGCTCCACTGTGTGTTTTTGATACAGGGTCTTGTGTAATTCAGGCTGACCTTTACCACCTTAAGTAGCCAAGGTAGGCCCTGAGCCCTGATCCTTCTGCCTCTACCTCTCAAGGGCCACGATTACAGGCCTGTGTTGCCACACCCAGCTTAACGCTGATTTTAGAACAGCCTCCTGCTGCACAGGAAGCAGCTCTCACATAAACAGCCATGCTTCCTTGATCCAGACAGAGGTCTGCAAAGCTGCTAGGCTGAGGGAGGGGGTGCAATGGGTCTGTCCGTTTCTATAGGTCGGTTACAGAAACCAAAGAGGGGAGGTTGTGCTAACAGCTCTGCTTGATTGAGCACAACACAGCACGGAGGAGGGCGCTCTGGGGTCCCAGTCTAGTTGAGGCCCTGCCTTGTACTGACTATGTAGCCTGAGGTAGAACTTCAATGGGACAAGCCTTCATTCATAGCATGCAAGACACACTAAGATCTTCCTCTTTGCAAGCTGCTCATGACCAACCAGCGGGTACAAAGAGATGAAACGTGTCTCTAAGCCTATGCGAAGAGCTTCACCTTCAATAAGAGGAAACAAAGTTCTCAACCTGAAAGTAAAACTTGAGACCGTCTTCCAACATTGAATACAATGTGTCAAGTTTCTGCCACAGTACTTCCACAGAACTGACAGCATGTTACCACAGGAAGCCTTTCAAATTGTTACCCACTCCCCTTTGTTTCACTGAGTACTGAACCCAGGGTTCAGTGTATGCTAGGCAGGAGGCACTCAACCACTGAGCTACATGCATGCATACCCTCAAATCTTATTCATGTATTTAATTCTGTACTTACTTTATGTGTACCCAGAGCCTTGGGCATGCTAGACAAGGGCTTTACCACTGAGCTACATCCCCAGCCCTCACTTTGTTTTTAAATACAGGTCTCACATAATCCAGGCCGCCCTCAAACTGATTATATATAAACTGAGGCCGCCCTTGCACTCTTGATCCTTCTCTGAGTGCTGGGATTACAGGTGTATACCTATAATACACACATACACACACCTACCTTGGTTTTTTTCATTGTTTTTGTATGTTTAGAGACAGGTTCTCATGTAGCTTTGGCTTTCCTATGTAGACCAGGCTGGCCCCGAACTCACAACGATCCACCTGCCTCTGCCTTTGCCTGCTGGGATTGAAGATACATGCCACTACACCCTGCTACACTTCGGTTTTTGTAATGCTGGGGAATAAACCCAAGGTATAATAGACAAGCATTCCACCAACTCTACATCGCTAGTCCCCTCAATTTACTTTTATAATTAAAACATACAAAAACTGTTTTTTAAACAATGATGCATAATTGTCTTCAGTAGAAAGTTAATTGGTTAAAGAAATGTTTTTAAAAGTTATTTCCCAAAATGGATTATAGTTTTATTTAACAAGTCTCATACATTTTACGAATCAAGGAGGTTTTTATATTTATGAATCAAGGGTGGGCTGGGTACAATGATGCACACCGATAAGACTCAGTTCAAGACCAAATTGGGGCTGGTGGTGTAAAACAGCCTGTAAACTAGACATCATCCTCTGACCTTCCCATGCAGTGTTATATGTACATATGTATGTATCTTAATATGATATGCAGGTAGTTGAAGACGTGCATGACATTTACCTTTGACATTACACCTCAGAACATACCAGAGGAAATCAAGCAGAATCTTCGTAGCATCTGCTTAGTTCTAATTCTCTGTGGCCTGTGACTGTCTCGGCTTTAGTGGAATCATACAGGCTGACCCAGAGTGTCTGATTTCAACCATCAAGTGTATCTTTAGTTACACACAAGGCACAACTAAGACAGAAATCCTAGCACTAATGAACACAGTGACCTCTAGTGGTGAAACCGGCACTGTCCCACCCTAATCCTTAAGAGCCCGATTAAAATGAAGGACTCCATTGTATTTGAAAATTAGGTAATGCTGTGTTTTCCCTCTAACTGCAGGAATTCTCCTCTTAAAAGGAGGGGATTGAGGAGAAGAATGGCTGGGCCAAAAATGTTCATTTCATTTTCTCTTTGAATTTTTCCCTCCAAAACTATGATTTTCCTAACACACCTGCTGAAATGAGGGAACCCTTGGTGGGCAGGGGTATAAACAAGGTCGATGTCCACAGCGAGAAGGGGGAGGACTTCACCAGTGGAAGTCTCAGGTGGGATGGGCAGGGGCAGTGCTGGGGACGGTGGTGTGTGACGGGAAGGCTTGGGACACTTATCACTGAGGAAGGCTTGTGCCTAGCTTTCTTACTTTGAGTTACACATACACATGAATGTTTCCCCAACTTAGTAACTGACGGTAATCAATTTGCAAACTCAATGCTGAATTCCTAAAGCGTTTTTAGTGCTGGTAAGTCTAGTGCTAGGTAAGTACTCTGCACACTAGGTTCCACCCCAGCCCTTTGAACTCCTGACTGTTGACTTAGCATTTGTGAAATAACAACCTCCCCTCATCAACCTGTAAGATGCTTTTGAAATGATGGTACTTCTGATCCTTCTGCCTCCACTTTCCAAGTTCTGCGATTACAAGTTCTCTGCCACCAGGCCCAGCTACTGCCGGGGACTGAACCCAGGGCTTTGTGTGTCGGGCAGGCACCCCGCCAACTGAGCCACACGCCTTCCCTAGAACGAGCTTTCCAGGAGGAGGAGTTTGTTTTCTTCAGAAGCATAATGACCCATTCAAGCTGGACAAGGTGTATCTCCACTTTACAGGAAGAAAATCAGCTACTTGGACAGAGAATAAAAATGTTGAAACTCGCCCAGGGGTGGTGGTGCACACCTTTAATTCCAGCGCTCAGGAGGCAGAGGCAGGCAGATCTGTGAGTCTGAGGTCAGCCTGGTCTACAGAGTGAGTTCCAGGACAGCCAGGGCTATACAGTTAAACTCTGTCTCAGAAAACCAAAAATAAATACATAAATAAATATTAAAGGAATGTTAAAACTCAAGCCCATTCTCTTACCAATCCCTCAAAAGACAGGGGGAAACACCCAAAACCTTATTTTTAGGGAAGTGTACACCCCTTAGCCTGTGACCAAAGGCTGAGGGTACAAACATGCAATTATGCAAATACTTCAATTCTTTTACCAGTAAAAATTAGCTCGTCGTGCAGGCAACTTTTCTCTTGCTTGAGGCGAATGATCTCTTCTCGTTGATCGTTGTTTTCCGTGGTCTTCTCGGTTAGGTCCTCTTCATACACAGAAGGAAGAGAAATCCTTAGGTAAACACCAGCCCCCTAGGAACCAGACACTGCACAAAACCTCCATGTGCTCGGCCGCCTCTGAGGACGCTGCCGGGTCTACAGCTGGCCCATTCCCCATCTCTGGCCTGGCTGCTCTCCTGGCTCTGGCCTGGCCTCTCTTGCTACACTCAGGGGACCCAGAGCGATCTTTAAAACTAAAAACTCCTTGTGTCATTTTTTGGTATGAGGCCCTCCCTGCTGCACTCAGGATGAAACCCAACTCATTACTGCAAACAGCGAGGCCCACAGTGACATGGCCTTCCCTGCTCCCTACCTCTCTCCTCTTCTTTCTCTCAGTTCCTTGACTGCCTCTGGGATAAAGAAGACATAATCTGGGTTTTGTTCTCCATTCTTGGTGAACAGATTCTGAATCTCTTGGAATTTTCTGACTGATGAGTATGTCTTGCCATTCAAAAGAAGCCCCTCTGCTAATGACAGCACTTAGGAAGCTGAGGCAGGAGGATCACAAATTTCAAATTTGAGGCTACCCTGGGCTATGCTATATGACAAGACCTTGTCTCAAAAACCAAAACAAAGCCAAATGAAACAAAACAGGGACCCTTCCAGATCCCCCCCCAGTTAGCATCTAGAACCCACTGTTCACCAGCTAGTCCTAGGCCATCAAGGGCTGGAATTTTCAGCCCTACTCACCTGCCTCCAAACCAAGGGGAAGACAGAGCTCTATAGAGATTCCAGAGGACCTGAGATGGAGAGTCCCAGCTACATACATGTAGAGGGGTTCAGGTTTTGCTTTAGGAGAGGATGTAGGAGCTCTGCATGGGAAGCCACTTCCATCCGCAGCTCCAGAGTTTCAGCCAGAAATGGGGCAAAGTGCTTCCCTGAGCTTTCTTCAATGCTGGGGCTCAGAAAATGGTGGTGGCCGCTCAGGTGGCTGTGGGAACCCTTGCTTTACTGCCAGTTGGCTGGTCACAAGTATGTGAGCCTCCCCTGGGATTTGGAACTGGTGTCTTAAGTGGGAACAGTCTCCTGGGCATGAACCCGTGAGATCCGTCACTAACTCCAGGCACATAGACGGCATCAAAAGCATCAAACTGAAGTGAATGTCTATGTACCCAACTGGTAAAAGAGAAATACAGAGCTCCCTTTTCCAAAAAGGAAACAAATAAGCCCGGAACAGCCCCACTTTAAAATCCACGCTGGGCCTTCTGCATTTGTTCTTCCTGTTTTCTGCTTAGAAAGTTCTCAGTTGGGGTCTGGCTAGTTCTGTCTGCACTCCAGTTATAGGTCAAATGCTAATCTTCACATTTACTTTCTCAGTCAACTTGCACTAAATGAGTTTTTCTCCCTTGCTCTCTGTTCTATTTCCCATTACCCTACTTTAAAAAATATTTGAAATAAATATCGGGTTAATCAAATATTTATAATATATAAATATTGACACAACAGACTTCTTCGTGAACATCCTACTTGACACACACAAACTCAATAAACACTGATGACCCACAGTGTATCCTTGGTGCTGTGCTGACCAAAGACAAACAGTCTGTCCCCACTACTGCTATGGGTCTTATGAACTTATGACCATTGGTGAAGACATTGTTTGTTTGTTTGTTTTTTAAGATTTATTAATTATTTATTTATTATGCATTAACATTATGATAATGTTCTGCCTGCATGTGTCCCTGCACGCCAGAAGAGGGCACCAGATCTCATTACAGATGGCTGTGAGCCACCATGTGGTTACTGGGAATTGAACTCAGGACCTCTGGAAGAGCAGTCAGTGCTCTTAACTGCTGAGCCATCTCTGTAGCCTCAGACTGTTACATTAAATTGGTCAAGAAAAAAAATTCAGATTTAGGAGATGGGGCTGAGACAGGGTCATATGTAGCCTAGGCTGGCCTTTGAAATCCCTATGTAGTGGAGGATGACTTTGAATTGATGATCCTCCTACCTCTACCTCTCAAGTGCTAGTACCTGTACTACTATGCCTGGCTCAAATTTCAGAATCTAAACAATTTGAGAGTAGGCAGCAATCTTCTCCACATTATACTCATGCTTGACTATGTTCAGGAAGACTAAGCCACTGTCTTTAATGATTTGTTTTTATTTTACGTGCATTGTTATTTTGCCTGCATTTATGGCATGTATATCTGTGAGGGCGTTGGATCCCCTGGAACTGGACTGACAGACAGCGGTAAGCCGTCATGTGGATACTAGAAATTGAACCCAGGTCCTCTGGAAAAGCAACCAGTGCTCTGCAACCAGTGTTCTCAACCACTGAGCCATCTCTCCAGTCCTGCCACTGTCTTATGAAGCATTTCACCCTGGACAGGCGTGAGAATAACTTCCTCAAGCTGTGGCTCTGTAGCAGATCCTCAGAGGCTTATTAAATAGTCAGTCCTCTAACCTGACCCAGTCACCATTTATAAAATGGTGTGGATTTGAGGCTAGAGCAATAGCTCCTCAGTCCCACGGTCACCTCAGCACCCACTCACTGGTCAAGCTGCCCGGGGGAAGACCAGAGAGGAGTGGGCCTACTTCGAGGTCCTCAAAGATCAATGTAAATTAACACTATCATGGGTATTCTTATTCAAATACAACACACACACACACACACACACACACACACACAGCCAAGGCATTTGGTCTATCTTTCACTAGAAGACATCAAGAATCAGAAAGAAGTGAGTCACAGAAGTACCTAGAACAAAACTAGAAAACCATCCAAAAGGTATTTGCAAGATCCCTCACCTCCCCTGATAAGATTTTACATGTTTCTCCCCCAAAGAGCTGAGCAGTTCCCCACTGAGTGACTTTGGGTTCAGCCACATGAGGTGCTTATGAAACGGAGTGGCACCGTGGCAGGTCCAGGCCTAAACCTTAAAAATCTTCCAATGTTTCTGTTCTTCTTCAAGTTTCTGCCCTCACTGTGGGAAGAGATGCTCTGACTAGCCCATGGGTGGGGAGAAGAGACACTTGAAGCAGAACTAGTCTGTGAGAAGCCTAGCTGGGTCTAGGCTAAACCAACTCATCTGGACCAACTCCAGCTGCTCGAGTTTAACAACTGCTGCACTTACACCGCACTGTTTGTTACACAGCATGTACCAACCAGCAACAGCTAGCTGACAGAGTCAAGGGAACTGAAGCAGGATTCCCTTCAAAATATGATTCAGGGCTGGGGATTTACCAAAGATAAGGCCCTGGGTTCAGTCCTCAGCTCTGGGGGGAAAGGTGCAGTTTAATCACAATTCTGTTATCTTGTATCACAAAACTTGTGGCACAATTCTATATAAGTGAAACAGATATTGCACGTTAGGATCCATAGCCAGGAATAAACCCACTTTCAAGTATAAGATTAAGGGACCCAGATGAAGAAATAAACTCCTAAGACATGGTAATACTATCTTAAATTATTTCCTTACCTTTCAGTTTACTGACTTCAAACCTAAGTGCCTTCAATTTCTGCTTATAATCTTGCTTTTCTTTCACAATACAAGTCTCCGCCATCTTAGCATCACGTAAAGCATGCTCTAACAATTTAAATTTACCCGAACAGTCTGAAATGTGATTGACTGCCTCAATAATATCTTTGTCCTAAAAACCAAGGAGAAAACTGTTAGTCTAGATTTTTAAGTTAATTTTTATTACATTTATTTGGTGTGTATGATGGTCTGCTATTACACTTATTTTGATTTGGTGGAGATTGGAGGGGAGAAGCTTGGGGTTGTCATGCCACAGCCTGTGTGTGGAGGTCAGAGGACAATTTGTAGGGAGTCAGTTCTCTCCTTCTACCGTGTGGGTCCCAGGGACTGAACTCGGGTCGTCAGGCTTGGCAGCAGTGGTTAGTCTAGATTTTTAAATTCTAAATAATCAGTTAGGTTGTTCTTACTTAGACTGTACTGTGCAGTGAGTTCCTTTCTAAACACCTTTCAGGTTAACTCAGTTGTTGTAACTCTATGGTAGTACCAAGTGGCAAAGAAATCAGTAGACACAAAAAAATTCTTTTTTTTTTCTTTTCTTTTTTGTTTTTCCAAGACAGGGTTTCTCTGTGTAGCTTTGGTGCCTTTCCTGGAACTCACTCTGTACCCCAGGCTGGCCTCAAACTCACAGAGATCTGCCTGCCTCTGCCTCCCAAGTGCTGGGATTTAAGGCACATGCCACCACCGCCCAGCACAAAAAATTCTTATCTGACCATGGTGCTAAAGCAGCCATTTCAATGTAGTTGGCTGGCCTGAGAAACCATGTGCTGTCATGACACCTTACTTTCTCTTGAAAAGTTGAAAATCAGACATTTTTTTTTTTTTTTTTTTTTTTTTTGGTTTTTCGAGACAGGGTTTCTCTGTGTAGCTTTGCGCCTTTTCCTGGAACTCACTTGGTAGCCCAGGCTGGCCTCGAACTCACAGAGATCCGCCTGGTTCTGCCTCCCGAGTGCTGGGATTAAAGGCGTGCGCCACCACCGCCCGGCTGAAAATCAGACATTTTTTTAAGACAGGGTCTCTTTACATAGCCCTGGATGTCCTGTAACTTGCTCAGTAGACCAGGCTGGCCTCACATTCACAGAGATCTGCCTGCCCCTGCCTCCGAGTACTGGGATCAAAGGCGTGTGCCACCACAACGAGCAAAATCAGACAATTTGATGGCCCGGCTAGACTGTTCAGCAAGTAAGGGGTTGGCTGCTCTTCCATGGGGATGTTACTCTCTGGATGACAGCTTAAGTCTCATGGGGCCAACATTTCCTACCTACATTCAGCTTGTTAAAAGGACAGACTCTTAAAACCTCATCCAACCAACATGCCGCATTAGAAACTTCTATGGTTGAAAAGCAATTCTAACCATAACTAATGTACAACAGTAAGTGGCTGAGGTAGCTTAGTGGCAGAGCACTTGCCCAGGTTCACTCCTTAGACTCAGGGACACTTGCTGAAACACTATGATTAACAGGTGTACCTTCCTGCGCACACCCACGGCTCCGGCAGCACCACACACGCATTCTGATAAGATCCTCCCAAGCTTGGAGGGCTTATGGAGAGAAAACAATTGGGGCAAACCACTCCACAGCCAGTGGAAGACTGGCCATGATGGAATCTCAGCATTCTGGAGGCTAAGGGAGAAGGATCAATGAGCCCTAGGCCAGCCTGGGCTACATTACAAGTTTCAGGCCAGTAGACAAAAAACAAAATCTTTAAAAACAGTAGAAGGGCTAAGGATGTAGCTCAGTAGTAGAGTGCTTACATAGCACATAAAAGGCCCTGGGTTCAGATCCCACCACCATTCATTTAAAAAATTGTTTTATTAAAACAGTAACACAAGCCGGGCGGTGGTGGCGCACGCCTTTAATCCCAGCACTCGGGAGGCAGAGCCAGGCGGATCTCTGTGAGTTTGAGGCCAATCTGGTCTACAGAGTGATACAGAGTGAGTTCCAGTACAACCAGGGCTGTTACATAGAGAAACCTTGTCTTGAAAAAAACAAAAACAAACAAACAAAAACCAAAAACTTTGTGTCCAGCCACGTTTAAAAATAATAAGCAGTTAAGCCAATAACAAGAGACAATTCCTTCAATCCCTGTGCGCCTTAAACAAGGAACTTGGGAGTTCCTGTTTCAGTCTTTCTAAGTATGTCGGGATAAGCATGTGCTTCTAGCAAAGACCGTTCACCTCCATTAGAACTTGGATTGAGGGTGTGCCGCTTCTTTATGGACATACTGCCCTAACATAGGGACACTTGGAAACACCTTCAGTTTTTCACAGGCTCTGCTAGTGCTGGGATGGACATCATGCTGGTCACTATTTTCACTAAAGCTAACTCTACAGATTTTAATATTTTCTCTTTAATTTTCAGGAAGGTTGCTCATGATCATGTCCCAGCATTAATGCTGGGGGAAAATTACAGATGAATTCACACAAATGTACCACTACACCAACATCATCCCCTGCTTAGCAACTGCCAAAGATACATGCGGCAGAGGAGCGCTCCCTGTCTCTGAGGAACCCGTGCTTCACACTCTACCAGCATCTGCCAGCTGCCAGTTCGCCTCTTATCTTACTAAAAGACTAACAAGCATCTAATGATCAGTACCTTCAGGATACTACAGCAGATACCTGGGAGGGAACGGATTCACTGAGATGGAGTGCAGAAGCTTTGGGAGCACTGTGTAAACCTTTTTCTTTTCTTTTTTTTTCAAGACAGGGTTTCTCTGTGTAACAGTCATGGCTGTCCTGGAACTTGCTTTGTAGACCAGGTTGGCTTCGAACTCACAGAGATCCACCTGCCTCTGTCTCCCGAGTGCTGGGATTAAAGTCGTGCACCACCACCACCCGGCGCTTTCTTTCATTTTTAAAAGAGGAAGATGAAATTCGCAATGGTAGCAGCTCTGTTTCTGGGCTGCTAAGGACTTGGGGAGAGCTGGGGTGTGTGGGTGAGCTCTATAAGCTACAGAGTGCTCTAGAAGTGGAGGTATGGCACTTCAATTACCTTCAGCTTTATCATGGTAGTGAGAGCCTGCTCTCTAGCTTGCAATTGTCCTACCTGAGCAGAAAGTTCCACTAACGTGCTGCTGAGATTTTCATTTCTAGCCTACAAGGGAACAACACAAAAAATATTGAGTCTGCGGGTGCTTTCACTATGTTACTGACTACAGTCAACACTCGTGTCTCTATTTTTTAAATTTGATGTTATTAAGGAACAAAGTGGGCTAAATAAGCAATCGTCAAAAAAGAAGGCAAATACCTATTCTATTAACTCTAGCTTTCTCTCAATACTTAACAATTGTTCTAACCTGTACTGATTTATATAGGTTAAGTTGATAAACATTTATTTTTAAGTAAAATCATTTTATTTTAGTTAACTCACAAATAAAACACCACACAGATGGTTTAAGGAAGCCACTCAAAAACTAGCCCAGTCTCAAATTCTATGCCTTTCCATGAACACAGAGTGGCTGTTCTGAAGTCATGGAGCTTTGCTTATGATTTTACACGTTCACTGTCAATTACATTTTTTATTCACTATCCAGCACAAAAAAAAAAGAAAAAAATCTATGATAGTTGAAACTAGAAAAAACATAAATTACATCTTCTTTCATGACTTGTGTCCTTTTCCTATTTTTATTCATAATTTTAGGTTGGGAGTAAAGAAGATAATAAATGAATGATAACTGGATTTTCATCAAGGGAGTGGCCTTAGTGAATTCTACACATCTTTTTTAATATCCAGGCTAAAATAACTTTATCCCGGGAGCTGGAAAGATGGCTCAGCAGTTAAGAGCACTTCCAGAGGACCTGGGTTCAATTCCCAGCACCCACATGGAGGCTCACAACTGCCTGTAACTCCAGTTCCAGGGGTCTGACAACCTCATGGACATACATGCAGACGAAAAAAAAAAAGTATGTAGATAAATAAACAATTAATTAATTAAAAAAAAGCTTTATCCTGGGTTTCATTCAATATGCCAATATGCATTTGCAAAAATCCTATAGGAAGCAAAACACAAAAAGTAAGCCGTTCTCTAAACTAGACTTGAGCTGATAATGATGTATTCACTCACATTCACCAGTTATAACAAACTGTGGTGCAGGGTCTCAGAAGTGGGGAAGGCTGTGTGTGTGGATATAGCAGACATGGGAACTCTGTACTTGCCATACAATTTTGCTGTAACCCTGAAACTGTTCTACAATATACAGCTTAGCTGAGCACAGTATCACAAACTGTAATCATAGCATTCAGGAGGCTGAGGCAGAAGGATTACCAGTTTGAGACCAGCCTGGGCTACATAGTGAGACTATCTCAAAAAAAACAAAACAACCCCCCCCCAAAAAAAACCAACAATAATAAACAAATGAATAAATAATAAAGAAAGAATAAAATACTGAAAACTTGATGTTACCAATTTTATCCCAGATACGTTACTAGCTTGGGTATGTGTGTATTTATCGTATCAGATAGAGATTAGGCTAATCTCAGCACTTGAGAGAGAGGCTGAGACTGGAGGACCGCAGTTCAACACTAGCTAGAGACTAAAGGAGACATGGAAAAATGTCTGGGAATGTAAAGCACTTGCATCTTCAAGGCCCTGGGTTTAATCTCCACAACAGGAAAAGAGGAGGGGAAAGGAGAGAGAGAGGTAAAGGGAAGGGAGGAGGGAGAGGGAAGGAAGAGGAGGGGAGGGCAGGGGAGGGGTTCAGAATCTAGAAAGCCAAATTTGAAGCTACCAAAACTCGAAGGTACTTATTTCAGACTTCGAGAAAGGAGGTTTTCCGAAATAAGCCATTGTTGGTAAAAAGGACAATGCTTCTAAACCAAACAGCAAAACCCTTTATGGTTTTGAAGTGATGAAACTTCACCTCCAGGACAGAACGGTGCTGTGCAGCTGGCCAGAAAGCCGGGAGAACACAAAGCCAGGACGGACAGAACACACACTGCACATTTCCTACACACAGGCCATTTTTAATGGTGACATTTAAAGTTCATTTTTCTGTAACCGAAACCTGGATTTTGGACTAATGAAGATCATCAAAAATTACAACCAACCTCAAGGTCTTCCGAGAGGAGGGCAGAATGTGTGGCCTTTTGAGCCATTTCCTGAAGCTGCTGCTGAGTCTTCTGAAGAGCGGTCTGACACTCTATTTGATTGGATTCAAGCATTTTGACCTTCTTCATGAGAGACTTGATTATGTCAGTTCTTTTATGCAGCTCACCTGAGGGAAATTTCAATCACTGTGTCTGCACTGAGATGTAACAGGCAACATTTTCAAAATCAGATTACAGAGTAAAGGTGTGTTAAATGTTTTTAAAACATCTTATTGTGAAATGCACAATGCCTAACATGTATTCCAGACATAAACGCTGGCACCAACCCAGAAGACACCTTCCCAAACATAATCTCTCTTAATTTCCACTTTCCAAGCCACTGCCCTGATCTTAGAATGGTCCCTTCTTTGCTGCCCACCTGCCCCTCATGCTGAGGATGGTGTGCCAGGCACTTGGCCACCACCGAGCTTTTTACTGTTAATGTTCTCCTACCTCGCTCTGCATCCACCCCAAAGCACAGTCTGAGCCGAACACAGATGCAGTTATACTCAGGAGTTTGTCTCTTCACTTGTTTTGCTGAGATTAGATCCCGAGGGCCACCCACATTGTAACTTGTGTTCATCACTAACGCTGCAATAGGAGTCTATTAATTATAACTCCAACATATATTTATCTACTCTACATCTATCTAGGTGATTATCTAGGTTATGCCTACTTTGCAGCTGTTAAATGGTGCTGCTCTGAATGACCATTTACATGTGTCTTGGGGCATATCTGCTTTGCTCCTCAAAATGTGGTCCTTGCCCCTGAAGCAGTAGCATCATTGGGGAAATTGCTAGAAATGAGACCCCTCCCCGAGGCATGGCATCTGTAATCCCAGCAGCCCAGCACCAGGCAGGTGAAGACAGTAAGATGAGGAGCCCAAGATCATCCTTTGCTACAAAGCAAGTTCAAAACCAGCCTGAATTACAGAATACCCTTTCCAAAATTAAAAAACAAGAAAAGACAAAAAGCAAGTGCTGAAGAGGTGACTCAGCAGTTCAGAGCTTACACTTAGACTGCTCTTGCTGAGAACTCAAGTTTGGTTCCTGGTCCCCACACTGGGTGGCTCACAACTGCCTGTAACTCTAGCTCTCGAGGATCAGGCTCTCACCAGCACCCTCTCAGGCATCAGCACTTACCATGTGCATGTGCCCACACACACCCCACATAACAATGAAAACGTAAAGGCTGGAGAGATGGTTCAGTGTTGCTCTTGCAGACCTGAGTTTGGTTCTCAGCACCCACATGGCAGCTCACAACTACCTGTATTGTTCCAGGGGGTCCAATGCCCTCTCCTGGCCTAGGAGGGCACCAGGTACATGTGCGACACACACACATACATCCAGGCAAAGCTCCCATACACATAAAATAAAAATAATAAATGAATCTATTTAAAAAATAAGTAAGAGATCGTTGGGCCGTGGTGGCGCATGCCTTTAATACCAGCATTTAAGAGGAAGAGGCAGGCAGATCTCTGTGAGTTCGAGGCCAGCCTGATCTACAAACCAAGTTCCAGGACAGCCAAGAATGTTACCCAGAGAAATCCTGTCTTGAAAAACAAAAAAGAAGAGGTTAGAGAGATGGTGGTTCAGTGGATAACAGAACTGGCTGCTGTTCCAGAAGACCCAGGTTCAATTCTCATTACCCACATGACAGTTTACAACCTCAACTCCAGTCCGGGGGATTCAGTGCCCTCTTCTGGCCTCTGAACACACTGCACGCATGTGGTGCACAGGCAAACATGGAAGCAAAAAATCCCATATACATTAAAATCTTAAAAGGGGGTTTTAATTAAAACAACAAAACAAAACAAACCAACAAAAAGAATGCAGACTCTTAATCCCAAACCTATTATATCAGAATCTACTATTGTGGGGGGTGAGGTTAGAGGTTGCTAGGGATGGAGCCCAGGGCTTTAAGTACTTTCCCAGTGAGTCATATTCCTCAGCCCACAATCTGCATTTACTAGGTTCTTTAGGCAGCTAAAGTGAAAATTCCTGGAGGTGGAATGGCTGGACCACAGCTAGAACATCTTTCAGACTTTAGACCCTTTCTTACAGGGTATGTATGTCTTCAACTTGACTAGGCACTGTTGAAATAATTGCGGTAACTTACTCCCACGAGCAATGCATAAGCCCCCCCTGTGGCTCTCTATCTTCCCATACGTGGGCTAGCAAGGCCTGAGCCTCCATGGCTTCCAAGGCCAGATACCAAGAGGCAGACTGGCATAGCTGCCGAGTTGACTCCAACTTGGTTTACCAACACCTGACAGCTCTTGCCAGTCTAACAAATGTTAAATGGTCTATCATTATGGTTTGTGTTTCCCTACTTACTAATGAGAATGAGAACATACTAACATATTGACTGGTTATTAAATTTTCCTCTTTCCATGAAGAACTTATTAAGTCTTCTTCTTGTACGTGGCGCTGAAGATTAACAGCCCTCTGGGTGCTAGGCAAGCACCTCCACTAATCTGCATACCCAAGCCCCAATCTTGCTTACTTCAAAAACTAGGTACTGATGGCTATATACAATCTGTGTTATTTAAAGAAGTATCTTCATACTACTTTTTTTTTTTTTTTTTTTTGAGACTGGGTCTCTTTGTAGCCCTGGCTGTCCTAGAACTATGTAGACCAGCCTGGCCTAGAACTCATACAGATCTGCCTACCTCTACCTCCCCGGTGCTGGGATTAAAGGTGTATACCATCACACCTGGCTGTTTAGACTACTTAAAATTTTTTAAAATTACATTTATTGTGTGTGTGCACATGCTTAAGCATGTGTCGCAGTGTGTGCAGAGGTCAGAGGTCAACTTGTGAGAGTTGGTTCTCTCCTTCCACCATGAGGCTCTTGGGGACTGAACTAAGGTCCCCAGGTCTGGCAGCAAGTGCCTTTACCCACTAAGCCATCTTTCAGGCAATATTTATATTACTTTCAATTAGCAATCTTTTATACTTGTATTTTGCTTTTTCATTTTTTTTTTTTTTGGTTTTTCGAGACAGGGTTTCTCTGTGTAGCTTTGCGCCTTTCCTGGGACTCACTTGGTAGCCCAGGCTGGCCTCGAACTCACAGAGATCCGCCTGGCTCTGCCTCCCGAGTGCTGGGATTAAAGGCGTGCACCACCACCGCCCGGCTGCTTTTTTATTTTTATTTTTGGAATTTTTGAGACAAAGTCTCATGAACCCCAGGCTGGCTTCAAATTTACTGTAGCCAAAGGTGACCTTGAACTTCTGGTCATCTGACCTGCACCGACCATCCTGGTTTTACCTGATGTTGAGGATAGAGCCCGATGCTTCATTCATGCTAAGCAAGCACCCTACCAACTGAGCTACTGATGGACCAGCCTGACTCTACTTTGAGATTAAAAGCCATCTGTTGCCGGGCGGTGATGGCGCACGCCTTTAATCCCAGCACTCGGGAGGCAGAGCCAGGCGGATCTCTGTGAGTTCGAGGCCAGCCTGGACTACCAAGTGAGTTCCAGGAAAGGCGCAAAGCTACACAAAGAAACCCTGTCTCAAAAAACAAAAAACAAAACAAAACAAAAAGCCATCTTGTTATAAGGTCAAAATAAAACTTGGATATGACCAGGTCTTGACTCATTTTCTAGAATTTGACCTGTTCCATACCCTAGATCTGTAACTTGAATGTGAAATGGTCTTTTAATAAAAAAAAAAAAAAAATACCAGATATTGGGGTAAATGCTGAAAGACCAGAGAGACAAAGGAACAAGCCACCTCTTACCTCTAGGACTCCTCAGCCTGAAAAGCCTTCCTCAGCCAAAAGACTTTAGTTCCTGTCTCCTCACGCCTTATATACCTTTCTCTGCCCACCATATCATTTCCTGTCTCAGCTTTCCTAGTGCTGGGACTAAAGGCGTGTGACTCCCAAGTGTTGGGATTAAAGGTGTGTGCCACCACTGCTGAGCTCTGTTTCTCTCCTAGACTGAGTCAATCTCATGTAGTCCAGGGTGGCTTTGAACTCACAGAGATGCAAACAGATCTCTGCCTCCCGAGTGCTAGGATTAAAGGTGTGTGCCACCATCACCTGGCCTCTATGTTTAATCTAGTGGCTTGTCCTGTTCTCTAATCTTCAGGCAAATCTATTAGGGTACACAATATATCACCACAATACCTAACCTCCACCCTGATAAGATGTTTTGTCAAGCAATTTTGAAATTTCAGCCACGTTCCTATGTAACCCAAGTTCCTCTGGAAATCTCCAAACCCTTGAATACTCCCTGGTATTGCAGTTTGGGGGGGCTGTATAAACCCTACTGTCTCCTGTGTTGGATGCTATTGACTCAAACCCCCTTTTAGGAAGATAGCTGTGTCTGATGGAAAATAAAGCTTGCATACTCAACCAAAGAATTTGAGTAATTGTCTCTATTCTCAGTTAGTGGGATTAACACTATATTCCCAGCCCTATTTGAGTTTTTTGAAATTATATTTAGGGGATGGAGAAATGGCTCAGTAGTTAAGAGCACTTACTAGAGGATCCAGGTTCGATTCCCAGCACCCACATGGTGGTTCATAAGCATCTATAGCTCCAGTCTCAGGGGATTCATCACCCTTTTCTGACCTCCTCTGGCACTGCATGCATGTTGTGCAGGCATACATACACTCATACACATAAATTTTAAAAAAAAAGTTATTTATTTATGGTTTATTTATTTATTTGGTTTTTCGAGACAGGGTTTCTCTGTGTAGTTTTGGAGCCTTTCCTGGATCTCGCTCTGTAGACCAGGCTGGCCTCAAACTCACAGAGATCCGCCTGCCTCTGCCTCCAGTGCTGGGATTAAAGGCGTGCGCCACCACCGCCCGGCTTATTTATGGTATATTTATAAGAACATATCTATATGTTGTAAAATTCAAAGGATAACTTGTGGGAGTCAACTCTCTCTCTCTCTCTACTGTTTAGGTACTAGGGACTAAACTCAGGTCTTGAGGGTTAGCAGCAAGCACCTTTACCGGCTGAGCCATCTTGCCACCTCCTGTCTATGTTTTATAAAATGACTGTGGTGATTCAGGGCTTTGAGCATTTCCTACCACTGAGCTACACCCACAGCCTTCCCTCCATGCTAACTGTAGCTCTGGCCAGCACTTCTCCTACGTGGCTGTTTATACAGTCTGCCCGTCTTCAACAGGACTGAACCCGGGGACATCAGGAGCTGAATTCTTTATGTGTCAGCACTCAGACATACAGATGGAGCTGCGTGTGTTTCTGACCTTCTAATTTGCTGCAACGTTCCTCCAGAGTCAACACTTTTTGCCGATCCTCTTCCCATGAGAGAAGTTGTCTCTGATGCACCGTGACCATATCATTGAGCTCTTTATCTCGATCTTTCAGTTCTCCAATGAGCAACTGCAGCTCCTTCCGCTGTTTTTCAATAGTGGAATTCTCAACTTCTGACCCGATGTTCTACATGGAGGGTGGTTTTGAATCAAGATAAACCCAATACCACACATCAGCCACAATATATCTCCAAAAATTATACTCTTTCACTGCCAACTCTGAATTGTGAAATTGAGCTCTATCCTCGTTTAAGAGCAAAACAACAAGCTACACCACACAGGCTGCCGCTATCAGCTTCCATCAGACCACACAGCTCTGAGAAAGGAGGACCATTTCCAAAACCTCTGGCTGACCACAGCACCCTCCACTTCCGCTTCTGCCTGCTTTGCTGTCCACCTTCCTGCTCCAGTCAATAATGCTGCTCCCCACTCTGCCCTTCTGTGCCCTGCAGCGCGCGTGCGCGCGCACACACACACACACACACACACACACACACGCCGCGCGCGCGCACACACACACGCGCGCGCACACACACACACACTCCTGAGGCAGCCTTTCTGTATGTGTGGTCCTGGCGCTCAAACCCAGAGCATTAATGAACATGTGATCTAACTGAGTTACAGTCCCAATCGTTGGCCTAGAAATTTTGGAGAAATCAAGGAAAGGTAAACATGAAATAATTGTTTTTAACAATATTATAAATAATTCTGATCAAAGAATGGAAATTTTAATCTGTAAGAAAATAGCCAGGCTGTGGTGGCGCATACCTTTGATCCTTGCACTTGGGAGGCAGAGGCCAGTGGACCTCTGTGAGTTCGAGGCCAGCCTGATCTACATAGTGAGTTCAAGGACAGCCAGGGCTACACAGAGAAACCCTGGGGGGGGGGGGGGGTGGAGAAAACTTAAGCTGGATATGGTGGTACAAGTCTTTAGTCCCAGCACTTCAAAGGTAATAGTAGGTGGATCTCTATGAGTTCAAAGCCAGCCTGGTCTACAAATCAAGTCCCAGAACAGCTAGGACTACATAGTGAGATATTATGGCAACAATAACAAAAATAATGAAAGGAAGACAATAATTAAAATCTACTATTAACAGACACATTATTGAAATGCACTCAATCTATCAAGGGCAATTTAACATTGTTGCTTGTCCAAACTCAAAATATATAGTTAAAAACAAGGGCAGAAAGGATCCAGAGGTCACAGGTTTGAGTCTTAGCACCCACACAGAAACTCAAAACTGTCTGTACCTCCAGTTCTGGGGGATCTGATACCCTCTTCTGGCCTCCCCAGGCACGAGGCATACATGTATACAGATATACATGCAGGCAAAACATCTAAACACATAAAAAACAAGTAAATCTTAAAAGGGCATTGGGATGGTGCAGCAGAGTGTTTCGCTGCATGTATATCTGTGTACCACTTCCAAGCTCAGTGCCTGTGGAGGTCAGAAGTGGATATCAGGTCTGCAGGAAATGAAATGATAGACATTTGTGAGCCACCAGATAGGCGCTGGGAATCAAACCTAGGTCTTTTGGAAGAGTAGCCAGCGCTCTTGACCAACTGCTGAAACATCTCTCTAGTTCCCACAGCTTTTTAAGAAAATACCTTTTGAGATGTAGGCTCACTAAATTGCCCCCCCCCCCCTTTTAGGCTCTGTGGCCTCGAACTTTCCAGCTTCCAAAGTATCTGAGATTACAGGCCTGTGGCTTTATAAGTGCCTCGAATATAGTAATCTCTCAACATTAGCTGTTATTATTATTAATTACAATTAGACAGGGTCTTGTTATGCAGCCCTGGCTGGCCTTGAACTCACAGGAATCAGTATGCCTTTACTTCCCAAGTACTTTCTGGGACTAAAGGTGTGCACCACCACACCTGGCTTAATTCATGTATGGGGGGGGGGGGGGCCCGGGGTGGTCAGAGGACAACTTTCAGAAGTTGGTTCTCTCCTACCATTTGAGTTCCTGGGATCAAACACAATTCATCAGGCCTGGTTTAACAAACCTTTACCCACTGAGCTACTGTTAAATTGTACTGTAAACCATATGGTGCCGAATTATGTTCTGGTTTTGTGTATGAAAAGCGGGACTGGAACTCGCCTCCCGCACTCCTGGCAATTCCACCACTAAGCTAAGCCTAGCCCCGAGAGTTCTAACTTAAAGACAATAATTAAAGCTGGGGCACGGTGGCTCACACCTAGCTTCTCGGGACTCCGGGGGCAGAGGCGGCCAGAGTGACGCCAGCGTTGCCTACACGGGGTGTGAAGGGCCGTACAAGTTCATCGGAGACTCACGTATATGACCACGGCGTTTGGAAAAGGACTTATAAATACTGATGATTTACACTTACTAGTAACTAAGCACACACACACCCACACACACAAAAGAACTTGGAATTCCAAGTCACAATACTTGAATTCCAGTCTATAGGAAGGGCAGGCAAGGGGCACGGAGCTCGGCGGAGGAACACGGGCGAGGAGCCGAGCATCCAGCGTGCTCGCCTCACCCTACGCGGATGCAGGAATGCAAACCTCGGGCAAATTCCCTTTCAGGACCGTCAAAGTGAAGTTGTGGGACGGCCCGTCCCCTCGCCGGGCTACTGTGAAGTAAGCGAGGGAGGGCAAGGTCGCTGCCAACGTTCAACAGCAATGCCCGGGTGCTCGCGCTTCGGCGGCGGCGGCGGCGGCGGCGTCAGCTCAGTCCCAGGTTTTGTCGGGCGGAGCAAACGGCCGCTCCGTCCCCGCTCTGCACCGCCTCCCCGGGGCAGCGGCGCTCACCTGGCGCCGGGAGAAGAAGGTCGCCGAAGGGATCATGGGTGATGCCCCGGTCCCCAGAGAGAGTCGGTGCCACCAGCGCGTCACCCCAGAAACGCCATAGGCGCCTGGCCGCAGAGGCGCGGGCAAGCCCGCAGGCCGGCACGCCGCGCCCTCGCGGCCGCGCATGCGCACCCAAACCGCCCGGCCCGACGGCGCTGAGGCGTCGCGCAGGTGGACGCTCCAGGTCTCGCGAGACTTGCGGCCATGCGCCGGGCTTGGGAACGGGAACCCGGTTTCTCACGCTGGAAGGCTCCCGCGCCACATTAAGTCTCCAGAGAAGCGTTCCAGCGCGAAAAGACAAAATCGTGTCCAGGTCCCAGTGGCCCCGGCTCACTCGCTTTCTGGTTCCCCTTAACTCAACTAGAATGTCGTCCGTTTCCCTCCCTGTGGATAATCGCTCGGGCAGACAGGACTAAACCAAAGATCACTCAAGACAGAAGGATCGATCAGCCAATCAATCATCTATCTGCTCTCAATAGTGATGAGAACCGTGACACTTTATTATATCAACATCTACCATATTATTGCTGGGTCCTGGGGCTGAGGTAGAAAGACCGGAGACCTAGGGAGACCCCGGGTCTCATTTTCAGGTGTGTGCATCCCTGCACTTGGCCGGAGGTGAGAGGACAGCTTCCAGGCGGTGTCTCCTCGGAAAGGCCTTTGAGGAAGGTCCACCAATTACACCAGACAAGCTGGCCAGCCATCCTACCTGGTTCCCAGCTCTAGGATTACAAATGCACACGTGACAGACGCCCGCTGGTGTGTGTGTGTGTGTGTGTGTGTGTGTGTTGGGGGTCGGGGAAGGACAAGCAGTATGGCCCTGGACATTGAAAGCAGTTACATGTGTGCTGGGGATCAAATTCCTGTCCTCATCATTGTGAAACAAACGCTTTATTATATACGTACACACCAAACAAAAATGTAACAAATTAAAAAAGATTGTGCCAATTAGAATTAAAGTCAACCTTTGAACGTGGGGCACATTAAATTTCAAGTCAAAGGAAAACATTCATTTTATCAATAAGGGCATTTTAATCCCTCATTTTCCGACAGTAACATCATCTAATAGCTATATAAGAATTGTTTGGGGGCTGCAGGGATGACTGTGGTTAAGAGTGCTTGCTCCCGCCGGGCGGTGGTGGCGCACGCCTTTAATCCCAGCACTCGGGAGGCAGAGCCAGGCGGATCTCTGTGAGTTTGAGGCCAGCCTGGTCTTCAAAGCGAGTTCCAGGAAAGGCGCAAAGCTACACAGAGAAACCCTGTCTCGAAAAACCAAAAAAAAAAGAGTGCTTGCTCCCTTAGCAGAGGACCCAAGTTCATTCCCAACATGCAAATGGGAGCTCAGTCACCGGTAACTCCAGCTTGGGCGGGTAGGGGCGCACAGGTTCTTCTGGCCTCTGTGGGCAATATTCATCCTTTTTATAAAACTTAACTGTGGACATTAAAGTGCCTTTTCCATGAACATGTGTACATAAACGGAGATCTCAGCACCAAAAAAACACCAAAAAGAACACTTGCCAAATAGCTATCACAGGTGCATTTGCTTTGCCAAGTATTCCTACTTGGCAAATTTCAGTTGGTGAAAAATTTCTTTTTACCCTTCCATCTTTATTACACATTTTTTTTCTAACTTTTTTTTTCCCCTAAACACCCTTTCAGGGCTGGAGAGATGGCTCAGCAGTTAAGAGCACTGGCTGTTCTTCCAGAAGACCTGGGTTCAATTCCCAGCACCCAAGGGGAGCTGACAACTGTCTGTAACTCCGGTTCAAGAGTACGAGACACCCTCATACAGACATACATGCAGGCAAAACACCAGTGCACATAAATAAAAGAAAAAGGGAGGGCTGGAGAGACGGCTCAGAGGTTAAGAGCACCAACTGCTCTTCAGGAGGCCCTGAGTTCCCAGCACCCACATGGTGGCTCACAACCATCTGTAATGAGATCTGGCGCCCTCTTCTGTGTACATAATAAATAAATCTTAAAAAGGGGGGGGGGAGAGAATATATTTGTATAATTAATGATTTCAGGGATTCTAAATTCTTAAAGGTATCTTCTATACAACTTTTGTTTGTGACACTGGGTTGAATGCAATGGCCTTGTGCATGCTAGGCAAGTGCTTGTACTGCTCAGCTATATATACTCCCACACCTATAGCAATTTAAAAAATAAAAGCCTTTTCACATGAACACCTGATTTTCAGTTTAATTTCACCCAGTGCATTCATTAAAATGATCAGTTTCTCCATAAGTTAGTTTAATTACTACTTCTAAAACTGTAGACCGAGAACAGATACATGCCATTTTTAATTGGTTAAAATTTTACCCACATGGTATATATAGCTAGAACAAGAATTCCCAGCCTCTCTGAGCATCCGTCCACTTGTAACAGTAAGAAAAAATGTCTAAAACAAATTTGGGGTCTGACCCTACTCAACATTACCAAGCAGGTTCCTAATATTCTTGGGGAAAGCTTTTTCAAATACACAGTGTCCTACCCACAAGACACATCAGCATTTCTTTTAACTGTTCTGCATTATTTATGAGCTCTAACATCATCAGTAACATTGTGAATAGTACCCTCATCCATGAGCTGCATGCAAGACTTGTTCTTATCTTAGGACAGTGTTGAAGGGTCACAGTGCACATGGTTTTGAGGCTTTTAATGTACTTATCAAGTAATCTCCGGAATGACTTGAGCAAACCTACCCATTCCATGTTGTTTGTTACATCAACGAAGTGGACTTTGTGTTAATGAAGAACCTAATCCAACCAAAACCCCATTAGATTCTCACCAACCAAGGACACACTTCTACTAAGAAAAGGAAATACAATTTCTTTTGAAGAGTCGCTCAGCTTTCTCCCAGTAAGATAACCAACAGAAACACTTCCCAAAATAAGAAGGTTTTGGTGCCAAGAGTCCAGCTCAGTGGCAATGCATGCCCAGCACATGGCCCTGGGTCCCACTGACAGCACCGAGTTGGGGGGGGGGGGGGGGCACAGTGTTTTTCTAAAATAAAAATTAAAAAAAAAAAAAAAAATCAGTACCAAATGACCAAAATGTTTTATTTGACTAAATTCAGATTCATGCATAAGCATGACAGTCTCTCTCTCTCTCTCTCTCTCTGTTTATCAGACTTTGGCAATTAAAAAAACAAACAAACAAACAAACAAACAAACCAAGCAGCCTTGTACAGAACAGTGAGAACGCCAAGGATGAGGAGTCCACAGCTTTACTGTAGGATATATATATATACACATATATACATATGTATATATTTCTGAAAGGCCTCTCCTCTGTTGGCCCTGTCAACTCTCGGGTCAGCTCAGAAACACAGGACTCCAAAATCACTTCTTCACTTCTCCAAGGTCTTCGATGCTGTCATCATCCACCTGAAAGACACAGGTAAAAGAAGTTCAGGAATTGAGGCAAAAATTAACAAAGAAATGAAGTGACTTGCTTTAAAAATCTTGTTTCTACGGGTGCATGCATCCTGTGCACTTACCTCTGGCCACTTTTCCTGAATGACATCGATTATGTCATCTGTGAAGTCTCCCTGAATGATGATCTCATCCTCTCCTGTTACTGAGGCACCACAGGAGAATTTTTGAGCAAAAAATCTTTGTGCTTCTTTGAGATCAATTTCTGTTTTGGTTTGTTTTTTAGAAAAAGAAGGGCAAGACTATAATTGGAATTGGACAACAAAGATATTTCAATTTTAACATATATTTTCAAGGTCATGCAGTCTCAGTACATAAAACAGCATCCTCCACAGTACTCTATAACATAGTAAGACAAAAATGGCGAGACAGATGGTGGAAGGGGGCGGGGGGAGACGACGACGACACTGAGACCAACCCTGTCTAGAAAGAAAACAGAACGAATCCAGGAACACATTACTTCCAAGATCACGTTCATACATGCTTTAGTTCTTTGTAATAGAAAACCGACAACAGAGAACCAAACCTCTATGCCTAAGTCTGTTTTGTTTACAGAGCCCCGCTGACCTTGAACTTCTGTCTTAGCTTCTGTGGTGGTTTGAATGGGAATGGTTCTCTTAGATCATGTGTTTAAATGCTTGGCCCATAGGGAGTTGCACTATTAGGAGGTGTGGCCTTGTTGAAGGAAGTGTGTCACTGTGGAGGTGGGCTTTGAGGTCTCATATGCTCAAGCTATGCCCACTGTGACACACAATGTCTCCTGCTGCCTGTGGATCAAGATGTAGAACTCTCAGCTACCTCTTCAGCATCACGTCTGCCTGAACATGGCCATGCTTCTCACCATGATGATCATGGACTAAACCTCTGAAACTGTAAAGCAGCCCCAATTAAATGTTTTCCTTTTATAAGAGTTGCTGTGGTCATGGTGTCTCTTCACTGCAATAGAAACTCTGACTAAGACATTTCCCAAGTGGCAGGATTACAGGAATGTGCCACCTCAACAGGATAACCTTAATATTTAAAATGCAGTTTAGTGAAGTGCTGTGGGATGTTCTGTATGGCAAATGTGTTGCTGATTAGTCAATAAATAAAACACTGATTGGCCATTGGCTAGGCAGGAAGTGTAGGCGGGACAAGGAGGAGAATAAAGCTGGGAAGTGGAAGGCTGAGTCAGAGAGACACTGCCAGCTGCCACGATGACAAACAGCATGTGAAGATGCCGGTAAGCCACGAGCCACGTGGCAAGGTATAGATTAATGGAAATGGTTTAATTTAAGCTGTAAGAACTGTTAGCAAGAAGCCTGCCATGGCCATACAGTTTGTAAGCAATATAAGTCTCTGTGTTTACTTGGTTGGGTCTGAGAGGTTGTGGGACTGGCAGGTGAGAGAGATTTGCCCTGACTGTGGGCCAGGCAGGAAAACTCTAGCTACAGTGATGTATTTTTCTTTTTTTTTTCTTTTTTTTTTTTTTTTTTTTTTTTTTTTGGTTTTTCGAGACAGGGTTTCTCTGTGTAGCTTTGCGCCTTTCCTGGAACTCACTTGGTAGTCCAGGCTGGCCTCGAACTCACAGAGATCCGCCTGGCTCTGCCTCCCGAGTGCTGGGATTAAAGGCGTGCGCCACCAACGCCCGGCTGTATTTTTCAATCTGTACATTTTGTATTGTCACACACAGAGACCTTAGTTTACATTTTTACACATCTTCCAGCAA